GCGAGGCCTGCAGCACGAGCAACTCCAGAAGCTCTCACACATCCACTCCCACCCCGTCCATCTACCCCTCCCCAGGCCCAGACAGACCCTGCTCCTCGAGATGATAACAACGACCGTACCCCTCCGCAGCAGCACACCGGAATCGATCAACCTGGTACAAACAGTGCAAACACCAAGCGCAAGAGGGTCGACTCAGAAGAAAAGCCTCTCAAGAATGGCCGGCGCCAATCCATCTGATTCGTCTCCTACATGATTCCCTCTACCTTTTCCAGATATCACGTCGAATTTCTGGGGCAACTTCGATTAAGTTTCTTCTTTCTGCAGCATTAGCATTGACATCCGCGCTTTAGCTTTCTCAAGCCATGTTGTCATTTGCGCGTTTGTTCAAGCTCATGGCATCTCTGCATGTGTCATACCCAGCACCTTTCCTTCACGTTCCCGTCGACAGAATGGTAGAATGTCTCATGCTGTTCTACAATATCATAGTCAATGGATAGCCTATCAGTTCAATTCTAAGTTCTCACTTTGCGCTCCTCGTTCTCAAATATATAAAGCCGACGAAGCGAAGAAAGCCTTGTCCAAACCTGTTCAGCGTTCAGACCGTACTCCCACGCAGAAACCGGCAACTGTCTCCGCCGCGAGTAGCCAGCTTTCCATCGTCTTCCCATCATCGTCGCCCTGTAGTCTCCACATCGCCCCCTCCCCAGTAGCAACAATAAACTCATTCATATCGCACAGCCATCGTGGGCTCTCATCCAGCCATATAGCCGTCCAGCTCGCCAGATGTACCAGCCCACCATGTCCCAGTGACGAAAGTCCTGACATCACCCACTCAAACCGCTGCGACACGAATGCTCGTAGATCGTGAAACATTGCGGTGGTGACGGATGCGACCGTGGGGAAGTGCGCACAGACTAGGGTCGATATGATATCGAGAGTTATGCGCGAGAAAATGTGTGCGTTGACGAGCAGGTTGACGAAGAGCTTGAATGTGGGCTCGTGGAGTAAGATGGCGATGAGGAGTGCGAAGAGGATGATTTTACGGAACGTAAGGGCCATATTCGCGATTTCAGCGTTGACACAGCTATCGGTAAAACGACGACTTATGGAGACTGCTGGTGTTGATACTGCCGCGTGGAAGAGACGCTAGTCCTGATCTGGGTACACGCCTTGGCAGGTAGGCTGTCGGAAAGGTAGAAGCCGTGGACAGTCAACACTTGGAGGCTCCACGAGCTACAGACCGCTAGCAGAGTACGTTTAATAGCACGCACTAGTGAATCGAATGCTCAGCACGGACCCGAAAGCCAGCTGTACCAGTCAAAGTCTTCGGCGATCTAGCGTGAATGTGACGGTCACGTGACAGATTGTACTTTCACTGCATCGCACACCAATCGTCAGTTCGAAGACGCATCGTATCGCATGCGTTCTGAACGCGAAGAGACGATAAAGTAAAGTTCTGAGTGCTCAGAGATTGTTTTGGTACAGTTCTTCCACCCACACTTCAAATGTAGAGGCAGCTACCGCTTGGTTCCCCTGTCCATCGTCTGCGCAGTGCTGTACAACTAAGAGCCACTACTACGCGTCAATAATGACTCGTGTTAGAGCTCATGATCAATGGCAACTGGTACGTACGGAGTATTCGGGTTCGGCGCGCCTTTGACAAGCTTGAACCCACCTGGCTGGAGGTACTGGAAGACTTGTTTCGGGTCGTACTTCTTCGATATTTGCACTAGCCGCTGCTTGTTCTTCGCTCCGTAGCTGCCGATGGGGTCTTGGTACTCGGATGCGTAGTTGAGATACACAAAGTCGTTGTCCAGGTTCCTCCGCTTCGCTTCCGCTTTCACAAGTTTGATGATGTTGGCAATCACACTGTGAAACTTGGGCTCGTCTTCTTTGTTGTTCCAGGCGGCGTTGAAGTTGAGCACGAAGTATGGACCGTTCTTCGGGTCGATGCCTAACGCATTCCCGCCATTCTTCTGCATGGCTCTGGTCGCGCTTTCCGTGATGGGCTGGATGGCCATGATGAGTAGGATCTTCTCGACGTCGGCGAACGTGGCTTCTTGCGTATAGAACGCATCGACAATGAACTTAAGCAACTGCCTGTCCATCTTTAGACTAATACCCCACCAGGTCTGGAAAGCACCAGGAGCAGGAGCACCCTGATTGAGAAGATCGGCCATGCCGGACATTGGGCGAAGGCCAGTCGTGTCATCGATGGCAGTGATATTACCCCAACTCGAGAAGACAGGCGCGTTCGCAATAGGCTTGGCGTAGTGGAGGTTGGCGAAAGCGACCTTGCCGATCCCGGGCGCGCTTGCGAAAGTCTAGGGATGTTAATTTTCCGCGCATGAGGAGTCTGCTCAGCGCACTTACAACAATCTGGGCGGCATCTTCATCCTTGACAGACCCAGAGACTGTGAACTGATGAATCGCATCAAGCACAGCGGGGTATGCATCCTCAAGGTACACCCGCTGGCCTCCCCACATCTGGCCAAGAGGGAAGGCGTCAAGCTTGAAGTTTGTGACGATTCCGAAGTTATTGCCGCCTCCTCTCAATGCCCAGTATAGGTCAGGATAAGTAGTCGCGCTGACGTTGATCGCAATACCCGAAGCCGTAACTAATTCGAAACTCGCCACGTTATCACAAGCCCAACCGCGCTTGCTCGCGAAGTGAGATATGCCGCCTCCGAGTATAAGGCCAGGCACGCCAACGGGAGCCATCTAGTTCTATGATCAGTAACGGACCATGACGTTGGTGCAGATGCGTAGACTTACACGTCCTCCTGCGACACTCAGACCGTCTTTCTCAACAGCATTGTAGACGTCTATCCATCGGAGTCCAGGACCAATGTCGACCGTCTGCTTATCGGAGGCAACAACAGCCTGCTTGAAGTTTTCAAGCGATACTGTGATTCCGTCTTCGATACTAGATGCACCGGCCCACGCAGCATGGCCACCGCCTTTTACGGCGAAGGGGCATTGGTACAATCTAGCCGCGAGCACGAGTGTCGAAACCTCAAGTGTCTTCGTGGGTTTGAACACACAAGAAGGTCGTACTAACCCTTGTTGAGCAGACCAGTATCCCCCGGTGAAGTTGCTGTATGTGGTTGCTCCTTCAGCCAAGACTCTGTCGGTGCCGAAGAGTATCGTCAACGCAGTACACTAATGTCTGTCAGCTTGCGCAACCCTAACTTCGTGGTATTGTGACAAAACTTACAGCATGTGAGCATTGCGCATCTGAGACACGGGCATTGAGTGCATTCGCAGGTTCTGGCAGAGCCAAAACGTCGACGCCGAGGTTTTCGAGAGCCGCAGTGATGTTGAAGTCTTGCGGCTCGAAAGCAGCGTCGCTAGCTTGGGCTCCCACACCGGCTGCAAGAGCTGCAATGGAAACAAGACATGTGACCTTCATCGCTGCTGATGACTGCAATCAATCGTGCGAGTTAGGTCACTTGGCAGCGCGTTCGTGACAATAACCTGCGCGTTTGGGTCCCAAGGGCGCGTCGAGGTCTGGGGGGCCCGGGGCCCTCTCACTTGGGGGCCTCTTTAACAGCATACCAGTGCGCCGCATCCTTCTGCACCTCGCTTGGCTGTAAGCATCTAATTTGAGGTACGTGTCCGATGATTGGCGCAATGCTAAGCCTCCTGCAAGAAGACGGTTGGATCCTGCGGGATTGTGGCGATGTTGTGAGCGAAGCCTTGCCGTATCCTGCACGGAATGGGCACCTGGGGCAGGCTACCGGCTATTCCTAATCTGGCCTAGTATGGCTTGGGGGAAGTCGCGTCGCGCAATCCGTCGCCGCTATGAAGTTTACACGAACAAGCAGCCTATAGCACTTTCAAGGCCACAACAACATTGATTTCGAAAAGGAGATGAATCGAAATCGACCTGCGATGCGCTCTGATAGCAGAATGATGCTCGGAACGGGGATGGCTGTGCCGGCCGAGCGGCGGAGGCGGGACGACCCTGGAAATGAGAACCTTACTCTCGGTAACATCGCCCCCACCAGCCCGTGAACGATACTGCAGGTACTTCCAGGCCCCGCTGGACGACATCCTCAAGTGCCTCGATAAGAGACTTCCAAAGTGGTGCGCTATTGAGTGCCACCGACGAGGGAACCATGAGCTCCACCGCTTTTGCTAGACTGGTAGCACGATGGCAGTGCACGTTGTGTCTGCGCAGCTAGGTTGTGCAGTAACGGTCTTCGTGAGATATGCAGTAATACAGACCCACGTCGCAAAATACCCTGTACGGCAGATCAGTCGGATCAAGGTAGACAGGCGCTTACGGGAATACTGATCTCATGGCTCCGTTTCGCAAGCGGTCAGATATCAAATACTTGATCTGATGTATCCACACGTTCCTGCTGGTGCTATTGATGTAAACTTTTCGCTACTTCATCGATCCCTTCACACTTGGGCACCGGAATACCTGACGGAATACAGTACTGGAACGCTTCACGCGTCGGATGTTTGACAACACAATCCCGGTATACCCAGAACAGGCACCATGACGTCCCAACAACTCGCAGATGTCACTTGGGACAAGAATGCACCTCCAGCAACGATGAGCAGACGCGAACTAGAAGGCATCAACATCGCTATGCTGAGTCTAACGTCTTTGGTCTTCGTCGCGCGCATTGTCATTCGATTATCCAAGCGGAGAACATTCGAGCTGCAAGACTTCTTTTGCTGTCTATCTTATCTGTTCTATGTCGCAATGCTCATCATGTTTTTCAAGGAGAACGACCCGCTTTATCGAGCCGAGCGTGTTCAGAGAGGCGAGGCGCCGTTGTATCCAGGGCTCCGTGCGTACAACCATCTCTTCACACGCAGACAAAGCGGCATGCTGACGGTCTCCAGTTCACGATGCAGGAATGGTCTATCGATGGCTGACGGCTGGTCAATTGTTGTACTATTCATCTCTGACAGCAGTAAAGCTATCACTGTTAGCCTTATACCGGCTTCTATTGAACAAAGCCTCGCGAAAGTATAGCATCATGTGGTGGACGATTTTGGCCTTTTGTGTTTTGGTAAGTACGACGCATGACCATCGTTTAGCGCTCAATACTAACACTCGAACAGTCCTATGTGGGAAGTGTTATGACAACCATCTTCGTCTGTGACGACCAGAAGGCGAAGTACAACTACGGTATGTGCGCGAAACCGAATGAGCAGAAACGCGCACAGTTCAGCCTATGGTTCGCGTACGCAGTAGATGTAGCTGGTGATCTCGCAGGTCCGTATGCCAATTCTATCGACTAAGGAATTGTACTGACAAGTGCAGTAATGTTCCTTCCGTTTCGCATGACGTGGAACCTTCGGCTACCTAGGGCCCAAAAGCTCGGCATCTTCATCCTGTTCGGGAGCGGCTGGATTTGCATCGTATGTACTCAACGAAACATTTCCCGCCTTCCAATAAATATACTTACACTACTGTTGGTAGGTCTTCGCCACGCTTCGTGTGGTTCAAGTCAGCGTCAAAGACGGTCTGCCAAAGATACCAGACCCGAAGTGGTTGCAAATGTGGACCGTCATTGAGACTTCGATGGCAGTCATCATCGGCTGCGCTCCAGCCTTCAATGCTCTTCGTCGTCGTTCTGAACACCACAACGTTGAGATAACGTCAGTTCATCTTGATATGGAGACCGCAGGTGGCGGCCATACGATGCGAGCGGAACCCTACAAGCGAGTTCTGCAAACGAACGAGCAAGGGAGTGAAGAAGCACTGCATCCACGCAGCACGCCTGGACTGGCCTTTTAGGTTGGAAACCTTTCCCCAATCATCACTGTCAGCATGTCACATAATGGGCTACTATCAAGAACGTGTGTTTTACAAGTGGTCTTCGTCGTGTCCATCGGGCTATGAGCCAAAAATTACGCATACAGCTCCAGCCCTGAATGCAGAAAGTTCGCGTTTCGCGTGTTTGTTTTCTGGAAGTGAAAGCGAAACTATTTCTAATGCTGCGATGACGTCAGTCGAAAGCGCGCAGTCACCATAGCCATCCTTCGCGATTTGTGATCTCTCAGTCAGAGACTATTGTTCCAGGCTGCTTAAGTCTCCTGGTCTTGTCTTATCCTACGTTCACTTTTTTCCCAATTAGGACGACAATAGCCAGTGTTGGTGGTTGCGCGGCGTCATCGACGAGTGTAAACAACAACGCGTACACTGCGCGCCCTCACACTCTTTCACCCACGCGCTTTACTTGAAAACTCTTCCAGTCACCACTCCTCATTGCAAAATCTTCCAAGCTTGGCTCTACGTTGCATCTTGTCTCTCATTCAGACTTCCCTGGCTCTTCCTCACAACCATCCAAACCACACAACACAACACCGCTCCGACCATATTAGCACAACCCACAAGAGGTAAACAACCCAGAAGTCTACATAGCGCCGACCGTTCACTAACTCACGTTTCGTTGCGAAAGTAGATTGCAGATTATTCGAATTTACCATTGGATTTGGTGCTTTCGCCTGTCAGCTCCCACAGCAAGCAAGATGCCTACCTTGCGCAAAGGGATCAGAAGCGCTTCCGAAACTCACGTCTCGATTCATGCCCCAACCCAGACAATGAAGCTCGAGCGCCAGTCACACCCTTCCGTCATCTCCATCACCACACAAAAGCGCAGACGCTGCGCAGACGAGCAGACCAACCCGACCCTCACAGCACAAGCCAAGAAGCTCAAAACATCAAAAACATGCGCCTCGGCCATCACCACTAAGCTTACTACCACCACACCCAACAAGATTTTCGCGTCCAAGTCCACGCTCATCCCCCGCGGCCCCCGCAAAAAAGCCACCCTCGGCGTCAAGGACGAATCCCTCCTCCTCATGCTCTGCGACTGCAGCACCACCCCGCGCAAAACAAGCGAACTCCACTTCCGCAAGATCCCGCACTCCCACATCGACTGGCACAACCCCCACCACATCTCCCAGATAAACGCTTGGCGCAACCAAATCTACGGGCGCGCCGGCCTAAAAGCCCGCTCCGTAAGCCTATGGTACGAAGCCGAAGAACTCTGGTTCGAGCTGTACTTCCAGCTTTCCATCGTCGAGGCGCGGAAGCGTGGGATCATGCTTCCGGGGAGTAGGCAGGTGCGCGAGGCGTTTAATATAACGTTTGTGGGGAGTGTGATTAAGGGGAGGAATGGAGAGGATTTGCCGCCGAGGGTGGAGCGCGAGGGGAATGCGTTTGCGTCGAAGTTTAATCGTATGTTTCCGGCGTTGAGGGCGAGGCTGAATAGTTGTGTTGTTGGGAGGTCGGGAGATGTGTGTGTGCCGGTGATTACGTTTGGGATGATGGAGAGGTACAGGGTGATGAAGAGGAATCTGGCGGAGAGGGGCGTCGAGGCTGAGTCGGAGTATGCGAGTGGATTGGAGGAGTGGCAGTGGTTTCTGTCTCATCTGCCAGATGTCGAGATGCAGGCTGTGGTCAAGAAGGAGGAAGAGGCCAGGGAGATGAAAGCGAAAGAGTTTGATGCTGTTGCTGCTTTGGTTAGCCTTGCCAACTCGCCTGTTGAGTCTGGGGATGACTAGGGAGCGTGCTGCATACATGCCGTTGGATCTGAACATGGAAGACACCCTCACAGCATGGACGAGCAGAACAAGAAAAAACAAAGCGATTTGAGAGGACGAAGCCATTGCTAGTGTCTAGAACTCGCCCTTCCACTTCCCACGTTCACCAGCCCACACCGCAGTGACTCCAGATTTAGCACCTCTAGTCATCAACTAGTTCCACGATGTCGCCGAACTCTTGGAACAGCCACGGCTCCAGGTCCTTGAAAGCTTCGGGTACCAGCTTCTCCTCGACCAGTGAGACAACAACCGGCTCATCGCCGAACATGTTCAACATGCCTGCCACCTCTTCGTCGACACACGCGTCTTGTTGGTCGCCGGCTGTATGCAGCTCGCGTGGCGTAGCCGTCCGTTGTTGCATATTTGGCGACGTGATTATCTTTGCGGGTATGGCGTTTGCAATCTTGGCTTCGGTACTGTCTTCGCTGTCAAAGAAAGGCGATCGAGAGGTCTTGAATTCTGCTTTGCGAGGATGATCGCGATGACTGAACTTCGGCTTTTGCGGAACGTGATCTTCGGTATTGACCAAACTAGAGTCCATCTGCTTGTCACCTTCTCCGTAACCCATGTAGTCATCGTCGATGACATTTTCGAAGGGCTGCATGGTATTAATGTCGCTTTCACAAATCTCCTGAAGATTCTGAGAATCTGCAAGCCCAATGAAAGCCTCTCGAAGGACGGAGTCGTCATCATCAAAGGCGTCGGATTCGTGAGAGGCTGCAGGAGCTGCAGGCTCATAGTCCATGTAATCTTCCGGCTCTTGTGTGTCACCGATTAAGTCTTGTTGCGCAGGCTGATGCTGCGGATGACCGGAGTCGACTGATGGCTCATCAAATCGAAAATCACCGTAATCGCTTGATGTTGGATGCCGCTCAGGAGCGGAGCTGCCCATAAAGTCAAGACTATGCTCACCACCTTGAGAGTAGCAATATGCTGGCTTCTTGTACTTGACGGAATGAAGAGAAGAAGGAAGCTCTTTGCCCTGGATCGTCTTATGCAGCTGATGGAGGCCGCGATAGTCTCTGGGTCCGTTGGTGCCATAGTCGGCTCTCTGCTTCTTTTCTTGCTGCGTGAGATCGAGCTCGTCAATTGGCGCAGAGACCTTCCTCTTAGAAGCTGTGAGTTGAAGCTTTGTTTGCTTCTCTTTGCCTTTCGGCACCGGTGGTTTCTGCGTCGGCTCAGGCCGATCTTCGCACGATGGAACGCGTTTGGCGACAGCTTTCTTCTTCGATGGTTTATCCATACCAGTCTTGCAACACTGGTGCTTGCATGCACTTCGATCTTTGCACGGGTGATTGCAGGCCCACTTTCCATTAGCTAGCTGTACTGGCTCTAGATCATCTTGTTCAGCAGTAGTATCAATCGGTCGTACGATGCGTTTGCTCTTCTCGTCATCCTTGTTCTTGGTCGCTTTGTTCTTCGCCGTATTCTTCCGCGTAATAGAATCGATAGGGTCGGCATAATTCTCGATGTGATCATGATCAAGATCACGGAAGGAAGCGTTGACAAGAGCATCATCATCCACATCACCATCTCCATAGTCATCGCTGGTGGCGGACACCTTTCTGCACGGCCTTGCAGTATCCGTGCGGCGCTTTGACATGTTAGACTGATGTGATGCTGGCCGCTCTGACTCCAAGCGTTTTGGGGTTGGAAACATAGAGGCGGCGACCTGGGGCTTCACGGCGGCGGCACGCATACTGCCAGCTTGTAACAATTAGTCTTAGCTCTCATAATCGAGCCGAAGTACATGCCTATGCCATCACACATGACGTAGCAGTTGATTGACTGGTCGGGGTTTGTCAAGAGCGCTGGGAATGTGAGGCTTTGGCCAGACCCAAGCTTTGGGCCACTGCGACAAAGATTAGTACAGCGCAATATCGAGATCGTAATGGCCCACCTGATGCGAGCAAAATGCACCTTGCGGCCATCGGAAGTGTCCACCAAAAGGCACACGTATATGAGTTTGTTGTTGAAGCGCTGGGGCGGCTTCTCGTTGATGAAGCCAATGTCTGCCTTGATCTGGAGTTTGACCCCATCGTGGGTTTTGATTGCCTAAATAGCCATTAGAATATGCACTTCAAAGAAAGATCGCAGACTTACGGTTGACGGTTGAGCATTAAGTGAGACGCGAAGCTTCGGAAACGACCGGACTTTCTCGAGCACGTCGAGGCCAAAAGGTGGATTTCGACCGACGAGTGCTTCGATCCTATAAGGCTCGCATCCTTCAAGATCTTCCATGGACTTCAGCCCAGCATTGACGAGCTTTCTGACAGCGACGTTGCCGATGCTTCCAATTTGCTTCATTTGAAGCGGGCTATCATCCCAAATTCTGGCGCCTAAACTTCTCTCGAGCATGAGAGCACTGTGGATACTGATGGAGTCACCTAAGGCAATCTGGCAGTCGATGATGCATCGGATTAGACTGCCAATATTCTTGAAGATGATTTGTGTCTCCGTCGTATACTGAGAACGATGCTTGCCGGCCTCGCCTTCCCAGGAGATGTCGGCAGACCCAAGAACGGATTGTACGATTAAAGATACCTTCTGCGATGGTAGATCGAGGTTCACAGGGATAGCCCAGCGGATCGAAGCGGACTTGTTGAGGAGCTTGTAGAATGCCTTTTCACCTTGACGGAAGCGTATCGTAGAGTACTCAACAGCTTGAGCTATGGCGGAGAGCTGTGTACGGATGTCAACAAGGTTTTTCAAGTAGCACCAAGGTTGTGTGACTTACGATCTCCGAGGGAGTTGACTTCAGCCCGAGTTCCATAAAGACTTTCATAGTCTCGAAATGTACGTAGTACCGTGCCATAGCATGGCCAAACTCGGTGCATCGGAAGTACTCTTGCCCTGACACAAGATTGGTCTCGCGCAAGAGTGTGATGTCGCGGAAGCATATGTCGTCAACTTGCTCCTCGATGCTTTGACCACTTCGAGCGCCGTCCAATTTGTAGTAACTAGGATTCTGCTGGAGTCGGACGTAAAGGAATGTACCTTTTAGCCATTTCCTAGCTGACTCTAGGTCGCTAATGGTTCCAAGTCCAATCTCGGCGTTCATATGATCTACCAGATTGAGATGGAGTTTACTCTCGATGAGGTCCTGGCCTGTGACCAACATCTCGTACCGTCGGACTTTCGCCTGCCTGGTCATAATCACTGCTACAGCTGAATCGTCGTACTGAGGTCGTCCCGCGCGACCCAGCATCTGCATCATCTCCAGGCCCGAATACTCCTGCATTCCTTCCGCACCCCAGGCCATGGTATTCTTGATGATGACGAGATGGCAGGGTAGATTGACTCCGACCGCGAGCGTGGATGTGCAGCAGATGACACTGATCTCGCCAGCGATGAAACCTTTTTCGATTTTGGTCCGATCATCGAGATCAAGTCCGGCGTGATGAAAGGCTACACCAGAAGACACGGTATCTCGAAGCTCCTTGTTCAGCAGCAGGGGTGGCTTAGACGGAGGCTTCCACATGCGATCTCGGTCTGATGCCGAGACCCACCAGTTTGCTATCAGCTTTGCCGTGCTGACTGTGGAGTTTCGGGTTGCGCAAAAGACCATGAGCGGCTTACGCTGTGAGTGAGAAGCGATAACCTCAGGGATTCTGGCATCAAGCACCTTTTCAAAGCCGAACTCGTTGCTGGAGCTGTATGCAAAGCCTCGAACGTGCTTGCGCAGCTTGACTGGGCGGAATTCTTCACCAAACTTCTCATTGGCGGCGGGAATGTCTGGCTCCGATGAGTTCTTTCCCAGCCATGCCGCAATGTCATGGAAGTTGGGTACTGTAGCTGATAAAGCCACAAAGCGCACATCCGTGCCAATAGACTTCATCCGCGAAACGACCGTCTCAAGCGTAGCACCACGATCTTCTTTGAGTATGTGCACCTCATCGATAAGGAAGACCCGGATGAGTCTCATCAACTTCTCATGGTCTTTCCACTTCCTGGTCATGCTGTCCCACTTCTCGGGTGTTGTTATGATGATGTTGGCGCTCTGTACGTTGCGTAAATCCCCAAGGTCGCTGTCGCCGGTCAGCTCGGCGCATTTAAGGCCTAACCTATTGAACTTGGCTTCCCAGTCACGTTGGCGTTCTGCACACAAAGCCTTTGTCGGCGCTTGATAGACCACTTTGTACTGGCCGGTCGCGTTGGTGGCAACAGCTCGACAGACAGCGAGCTCGAGAATGACGGTCTTACCACTTCCAGTAGGGGATGCAAGTACGAAATTGTCATCGGTCCTGAAGACTCGGTCAAAACACTTGGACTGTACGGCGTTGAAGGTCGGGTAAGGAAACACCGTTCGAAGACGATCTGGTAGGGTAGTGACAGGAATCAGGCGGATACCTTGGCACATGGGAGCAGCGCTAGACACATCTTCTGGGTACGTCTGCGGCTCTAGGGGAGCTTGTCGATGATGCGGAGGATTGAGTTCGCCTCTGTGCTGTGCGGCGGATGCGCGTTGCTGGCTAGCATGTGGTCGAAAACTGGGCAGTGCAGCCATTCCATGGGAGCGCTCATGTTGTTGTCGGTACTCTTCAGCAAGAACATGGCCGTCGCCTTCGAATGGTGGGGCCTGTGAGCCGTGTTGAGGTCCGAAATCATTGACTTGCTCGGCACGCCGCTGACTTGCCCTGAGTGTTGGACTGGAAGACGGGCCGAGCGGCATGTCAGAACTGGACTCTTGAAGCGGAGCGGCATTGTAGGCAAAGCGACCTGGACGGTGATCAGCATGGCCACAACCACCAACGGCAGAGGTGCTTTCTACTCACTCATTTGACCTCGCATAGCCTGCTCAGAACGCGGATGGTACTCTGCTTCTTAGTCAGCAGATGCGTCTCTGCAGTCCAGGCTAAAGTACCTTCTTCATGGTACATGTCTTGATCACGAGCCTGGTAAGACGGCTGCGATTGAGTAGGCGCCGCATGATTGTAGAACGTGGAAGGGCCTGGTGCAAGTGACAACCTCTTTGTGCCTTGTGCAGCTTACCGCTGAAAGTCAGCGTATGGTTGTCGAAGCACTCTATCATCTGCAAGTGTGAACGTAGGAGTTGCGGAAGCGAGGGGACCACATACCGAATGAGTCGAGTTGCTGACCTCGGTCGTATATGCTGTCGTCCTCAACCACGTCATACTGGGGGTCGTCATATTGAGTGGCGCGATAGCGATCACAGGGTGCGACTGATCTTCCAGGCTGCTTGAACTGAGGCCGAAGCATGTCGTACTGCGACGGGCGGCGCGGAGCGCCGAACTGCTCGTAGCCATCATGCTGATAGCGGTCGTCGTCCATGACTGCTACATGTGGCTTGATCAGAGGCTCTTTGGCAGTAAAGGCGTGGCGGGAAAAGTTCAGAATCTAAAGTGGGGCGGTAAGTGAGAGTTGAGATGAGAGGGAAGTGACGATGGAGGAAGTCGCGGCCTGGCGTGCCACATCCGGATTTGGCGGAGTCACTCGACGGCAAACTTCGATCAAGGAGGGTATTGAGCGCGTAGATCTCTGTCAGTTATGCGTGCACCTCGTCCGCATTGTGATCACATGGTCCATATATTACTATCGCTCAAGCATCTCGCTTGTGAGAATGCCGTTCTATAGAGGGCGATTCCGGTGCTGCTTTTGGAGCAGCTTCATACACTGATGACCTCCGCGGCTTGTTGGTATCGATTGTGCGATCCACCGTAGTCTTCTCGAAGTCGGCAATCCTGACTGGCAACGATTGCGAGCCCCGCTCAGGCTTTGTGTAAAGATAGGTTGCGAACAGCACGACGCATGTGCCAAGGAAGAACTACCGCTAGTCAGCATTATGAGCCTTACTGTGCCATTGAAGACTTACTGATCGCGTCACCCTGAAGTCAAAGAAGTAAACGCTTGCAATGCAACTAACCAAGATAGAAATCGATGTCGCGAAGTTCTTGGCGATATTATCGGCATAGTTGATGACGAGCGCAACCACAATGCCACCAGCTGCTTGAAGACCGATAGCCGTCCACACCACCCAGTTGTAGCCGACGAAGAATCCAGTCTTAGCTATGATCTCCCCATCCTTCCATATCACGCCCAGGAACAACGACGGAAAGAGCGACCAGAAACAGAGCTGGCAGTTGCGGACCCAGAGCGGCGTCTGCTTGGCGCTCGTTGAGTCCTTCAAGATCTTCTCAAAGGTAACCCCGGCTAGGCCTGAAAGCGCGCAGGAGATCAGGACAGCCATGAGCCCAACCCGGTAATTCATGTGGGGTATCTGAGCTGCACGATCCGCGTGTATGCCCTCGTATGACCCAGATCGTCTCCCTAGCCGCCCTGCGACATTCTCACCAAGATCGTGCAGCTGCTCCAGCGTCTTGGTCCATGGCTTTGCACCAGAGGCTTGTGGTGGTGACGGCGCAGTCGCTTGCGGTACCTGTATAATAGAGACGCCGATGATGAGAAGCAACAACGATAGCCATTTGCGCGCCGAAAGTGTTCTGCCCAGCATCAACACACTGAAGATAGCCGTCGTCAGGATCTTGAGCTGGTACGTCACCTGGAACGTCGCGGCGTCCAGGTTACTGACAGCAATGTATTGGAGGGAGTTTTGTATCGTGTATAGCACGGCCGGTATCGCAAGCTTCCAGCTCTCGTTTGTAAAGATCGCGGTCGTCAAGGTACGGAACAGTGTGGGGATCGTCGTATTTGAAGGAAGGTTGCCTGACATCTCGTGTAATGCCTAGGACGGTCGTGAGCCTGAGAGCAGTTCATTCCTCTTCACCCGGGCGCCGTACCATAGTCAAGCTGATAGCGAGCTTGATGACCTCATTCAGGAAGACGCTTGTGCTTGCGTGGTATCGTTGCTCTCCAGTCAGAGGCATTATCCTGGAGTAATGCATAACCTGGGGTCGCGTCAGCCACTGTCACTCCCCGCTTGCTTCTCCACAGTATCCGCATGTTCTGTGTGCTCTTCGATCGCGTTGGGGTAGTGCTTCGCGGTGGATGGCAATCGTACCAGGATGAGGGCAGAGTTTTGGAATATAAGCTGTTTAGGGATTAGCTTCTGCGTATACAATGAGAGTGACAAAGATTGGCTTACTGTCACGAGAGAAACATGCTTCATGGGCACCCCGCCCAGAGTTCCTGAAGCCGACCTGACAACCATGGTGGGCTCCGCTCTCGTAGATGTGCTGGAATGATGGGAGGTTCGCTAGATGCGCATGGCGAAGATTATATCCGGTAGCGATGGGCAGTACGTAGAATTACAGTGAAGGTAAGATCAAACCGGTGCAGGGCAAACGAGACATGTAGACTGGGCCCATCTTGAGTGCTGTCAGCTGGAGATGGGGCGCGGCTTCCGCTGCTCGAGCATCCGGCGCGATGAGCAGGGATACTTAGCGCTGCCGATCGAGCTTGGCATTCAGGCCAATTTCCGATGACGCGCATCTCGACGCGTCACGGACATTCTCACCCTCACGACCACCACAACACTCAATTGCTTGCCATATATGGGAGACGTTCCGCTCACAACACCAACGACCCACGCATGAGCTCCCCGTATCATTCGCTCACAGCATAGAGTGCAGCTGACACGGAACCCAGCGGTCGCTGGTGCCTCCCGCTGTAGCCACTGGCACACCTCTGGACTTAAGTTGAGGCGCGAAGCATCACCGTGATTCCGTCCGATCTCACTCATGATCAATCCCTCCGCGATAACGCTAAATCCGCAGGACCTACATATCTGGTCCGGTTCGTCTTTCACTACTACCGCCGCCTCCGCTACAAGAACAAACCCGAGCTCGTCAAGATTGTTGAACTGTCGTATCGTATGTTCCGTCATTCGGACTCTGGCGCCATCGTCAGAACTCTTGGCTACAGATCCAACGATCTCACATCCTCCGTCTGGTACACGTTTCTCCGAAGCCTCAGCCCTTTCGCTTTCAAATCATCATGCTTCCGTACCAATATCCAGCTCTTCCGCTTCCTGAAGCAGGCAAACACACAAGGCTTGTGAGACTCAGTCCCGGCAACTTTTCTGATGACCTTCACGTGGAGCTGGACGAAGTGCTCTTGGATGGCACTTCCACCTACGAGGCGCTATCCTACGTCTGGGGCTCGTCGGCCGATCCAGTTCCCCTACTGGTCGGTCCTTCCCGGGAAACCACCATTTCGGTCACGCAAAACCTAGCGACAGCGTTGCGATATCTCAGATACACGAACGAGTCCCGAACATTATGGGTAGATGCGGTTTGCATTGACCAGAACAATCTGAATGAACGAAGCTATCAAGTCACCTTGATGAGCGATATCTACCGAGCGGCATGTCTGGTTATTGCGTGGATTGGACCCGAAGCCGATGACTCCTCCCAGTCCTTTTCCAAAATGCACATCATTGGTTCGAGCATCGATGTGAATTGGAACAATTTCTCATACAAGCCTAAGGTGGACATGAACAATCGGCCTTTCATTCTGATAGAGGAACTCAAAAAATGCGCGTTTGGAAATCAGGAAGCCCATGCTGTCAGTCGTCTTTTGCATCGACAGTGGTTTCAACGTCTCTGGATTCGGCAAGAGATCGGGCTGGCTACTCAAGCGATTATTTGTTGTGGTAAACTATCCATGCCTTGGCATCTGTTTAGGAATGCTATCTTCTTCATCAATTCAGAATGTCGTAAGCTGATGACAGAAGCACTTGGAGATCAGATTGCAAGTTTTGCATCCCGTATCGATCTGGTGTACCGGATTTGCGGACGTCGTACATATTTACTCCAACACTTCCGAAGAGATCTTGCCCATGTTGTATGCGCAGACCCCCGAGACAAGATATATGGCATGTTAAGCCTACTTCACCCATTACAACAAAACATGGGTATCATCCCAGATTATACTCAGGATGTAGCTCTTGTCTACCAAGACGCCGCTATACGGTTCATAAATCACACGAGGAATCTATCCATACTCCTCCAGTGTGAGCTACAAGACACTCCTCCCCATATGCCAACATGGGTCCCAGATTGGTCAAGTAAGCTAAAAGTGTCACGATTTCTCACAGGTTCAACCAACGCAAGCGCTAGTTTCAAGTCGATTGCAGCTATCAAAGGAGAAGGGATGTTGAGTGTCGCTGGTGTGGCTATCGCGACATTAAAGCATGTACAACCTTTGCATTTCGGCAGCGAGGATGACTTCCAAACTATGCTGACGGTACTTTGCAAAATGGATATATCCAACTCGGCTACTTCGAATGACACAGAAACATCTCAGTTTTCTGCAGTGTGTGATGCGCTTTGTGCCGGTATTTTCCGCCATACCATGATCCCGATCCGCGAAGACCTCCCAGACTTTGAGTCAGTCATGCAAACTTTCAAGGCTAGACTGGTAACAGGAACGCTCATTTCCGGCGATGTGGACTCCACCAACGAATGGCGCAAATACGGAGGCAGGGTCACACCTGTTTGTCGCAACCGGAATTTGTTCGTTACAACAGAAGGCTCGGTTGGCATCGCTCCACCAGCCGCCAGACCGGGTGACATAGTCTGTGTACTTTTGGGTTGCTATTGTCCCATCCTACTTCGTCAGACTAAAGATAATACCTATCAAGTTATTGGGGAGTCATACGTGTCAGGTCTCCATGCTGGAGAGGCACTGTTGGGACCTCTACCAGAACATTTACGGCCAGTTCATTACTATGACAACGACGTCAAGGGATATAAAGATGCCCTTTGGAATGAGCATACAGGACGACTACAGTTCGAAGATCCTAGAGTGGATAGATTGCTTCTGAATCCCGGCTTTCAAGTTCGTAGCCAGGGAGAGAACATGTTTCCAATAATCAAAACCAGTGTAGAGGCGCTTCAAAACGCCGGTATTGCGGCTCAGTACTTCGGTCTTGTCTAGTCAATTGCGCTTTTCTTTATCTGTAAGCAGGACATATCTGTAAGCAGGACACTTCACTGGTACTGCAATAACGCAGAGCAAGTAGCACGCCAATCGCGATTTCCAAAATCCAATTCAATTCAGTGCACAAAGTCACTCTCGGAAGAGCATAATCGCAAGCATCACAGTCGCTCAAGCGCCCTGAATCCTGTCAATCTCGACTAACGTGACCGTTCCGGAGTAATAGCTGAGTTACTATTCATAGAATTGCGTCCATCGCACTCTCTGACAGCAGTATTTCACACCTCGTAGATTCATGCAAGCGGGACATCTTCTATCTCACTGATCTGTTGAACCGTAGCCCTGAAACGCTCATACACCTCTTCGGCGGGGATACTATAATCCACATCGAGGAGCTTCCCCCCTTGATCGTTCTCAATAATCCCAAGAATGGCATAATACATATCATGCAGCATCGTAGACCTACGGTGCTGAAAGTCGAAGGCCACATCGAGTAAATTCCTCTGCAGGATTATGTTCTCTCGCCGCGCAGCCTGCCGCATCTGTGATTCGAGGATGTAGAGCAAAGGTGTCCAGTCCATCCCACTCTCGTCTCGCCTGTGGAGGTTGTAGATTGGCGACACGACAGCAGCTTTGATGCGGAAAACCAACGCGCGTAGAATACCCAAATCACAAGTCCAGTGAATCTTATGCCTGCCACATTGTAGCGTTGTTCGCCGTGCTAGCACCGCTTCTTGGACTGTCCACATTCTTCCAAACCATGGTCTCTCCAGGATTCGAGTTACGCTCTGTTCGAGCTCGGGAACTGCGATATGTGACCATGGGCTCTCTTCTCTCTGGCCATACCGTTCCATGAAAGACTGCAGATGCTGCATATCTGTCTCGGTTTGCTCTGTGGACTGACCGAGGTACACGACGACACCATCCGCTGCTTTATAAATCTCGTCCATCATATGAACTTGATCTTGTTTCTCCGTGTTGTGATATTGATTGATGCATACTTGGTCGGTCCACAGTATTCTGATTGACGTTGGTGATTTCAGATTTTCGAGAGCGTCGTGGAGGTTTTTGGTGATCTTGAAGTTGCGACCATTAACCAGAATGTCGACGCGGTCATTCATATCTCCCCACACGTAGGACATTGCTTCGTAAGAGGGAGCATCTCTTAGATCTTTCGTCACCAGGGTGGCCTTGATCGTGTCTCCAGGTGATCCAGGGTGCAGCTCGAGCAAACGGAATTGGTGTCTTTCTTCTAGTTGCGAGTGCACGTACACATTCTCGCTCTGAAAAGGTTAGTTGCTGGTAAAGCTCCCGACTCAGGTGGACGCACCGAAGCGACGGTGGGCGGAACCCCTGGTGGGTCAACAGTGAATCTGACCCAAACACCAAACGATAACTTCCAACCAGTCGGTAGCGGTATCAGCCATTTGTCGATGCAAAGGGGCAGAGAGTTGAACATGAGAGGCCAACGCCAGAACCGAGTCCAAGACGTCATTTTCAAGAGGCACAGAAGCTGTGTGTGAGTTCGATAATTACTGAGGCGACCAAAGCTCGCGTCAACGCGAGCGCAGGAGCTGACAATGTGCGGGCGGAGCCATATACCCAAAGACGTTCCAGCTGAAACCAGAAACGAGCATGGCGATCCCGATGGTGTCTTTGCTTACACGCCGCCAATCAGACTTAGTCGTTCTATGCATGAACGCCAGTGATAATTGGCTTAAATCCTGGCAAGGCAAGATGAGTGCATCCAACATCCAATGCAGCCGACCTTCAAGACTGCATCCCACTCGTGGGTCGCCACGACATTCGCTCGGCTGTAGTGCAGGACCAAGACACCAGATAACGACTTATACCTGGCTGCGGTGCGACAGAAACAGTACTCTGGGGTACGTCCTCGTATATCACCCAAGTTCAGACCGTCTTGTGCTTTTGATTCGCCGCCCACTTCCTGTTCTCTTCCAACCCGTGTTGTTAATCTTTTCCCATACCCGTACTCCGGACTTATGCATCTAGCATACTCACTCAAATCTGCGGTGTCTCGATCAGTCGCTGTTGATGGGCCTTCAGAAGTAATAATCATAGGAGTTGATAGGATATTTCATTAACCTTCGAAAGGGCGCTACAAACGAACCCACCAAAACCGAATCCACCACCCGATGCGATGCAAACATGTCCCTATTTACATAAATCATCACACAAATAATTTCCGTCAATCAGAGCCAAGTCCAGCCAAACCTTCCCTCAGACTCCACCAGACCCTCTCCTACACCTAATAAGAGTCCCCGAAAAACTGACTAGCAAGCATAATATCCCTATCCCCATTCGCAAAGTCCCAGCCCACAATCGTCGGATCCTGACTACAACAGATGATCCTCCTGGCATCAAATTGCAGTTTGAAGACGCGTGAGTTGGTACCGTTGTTGGTGAGTGGTGCGGCGAGGGGGTGAGGCTGGTGGTGATGATGGTGGTGGTGGTGGTGGTGCGGTGCAGCGTTGGCAGGGCCGGCGGCGCCTTGCTGTGCGGGTGCGGCGTTTGCGGTGGGAGGGTTGTTCGCTGCGGGAGCTGGGTTGGCCGTCGCAGCTGTGTTTGCGGGTGCGTTGGCGGCGGCGGTGGGGCCATGCATTGCTTGGGATGCTGCGTGGAGGGCGTGGGCTTGTTGGGCGAGGGTTTGGGCTGCTTGGGCTTGGGCTTGGGCTTGCTGTGCGAGAGCTTGGAAGTTGTTTTGCTGTGCGGCTGTTTGAGCGTTGGCTTGTTGGTTCGGGGGTTGGGCAGGGTGGTTTGCGTTGGCTGCGTGGTTGACGGGTCTTCGGGGGCGGCCGCCGGCTGCTCGGACGGCGTCATTTTGGAGGAGGGTTTGCGACTTCTCCCATGCTCCGTCGGGTCCTCGCTTCCAGATGATGACTGTCTCGTCGTAGGAGCCGGAGACTATGCGCGCCCATTTGCTGCCGCCGCCACCAGGTGGTAGTTTGGCCCCGTAGGCAAATACTTTGGATGGGTCACGAGAGCCGGCGTTGCGAGCACGTCGCTGCTCTCTGCTGAGATTTTGACCGGTGAGCTGGCCACTAGCCTGTGCTGCGAAATAGATTTGATCAATGGACCGTGCTTCGGCTTCGAGCTCTTCTTCATTGCCAGGAAGGTCGCCAAACTGGGCTTGCACGGTGCGCACAAGATTACTGTGGCCGTTCAAGCAGGCCACTTCAGCACCAGTTGCGCGATCGAAGATGCGTACACTTTCGTCTGAGCTGCCACTAACGATGCGTCGTCCGTCGAATTGGACACATGCGATGCCCTTGGTATGCCCTGAGAATGTTCTAGTGCATGCGCCAGTGCGAACGTCCCAGCACTTGACACTCCTATCTCCAGATGCAGACACGATTTGACCATCAAGGATCTGGATTGCATTGACTGCAGCACCGTGTCCTTCCAAAGTCATGATCAGGCTGTACGGAAGGAGGGGTTTGAAATGGAGGTGTTGGCTCTCGACGTGTTCCTGCATGTTGATAATGTAAGAAGGGAAGCGAGCGCCCGACTTCATGGTCGATGAAGGGTAAGTATCGTCCGTTGGGAGCATCTCTTTCCGATTCCATACTTTGATCGTCTTGTCTTTCGAGCAAGTGACTAGGTAGCGATCGTCGAACCTGAGATTCAGGACCGACTCGGAATGCGCTTTTTCGATTTCCTTGATGATGCGTCCGGTGGAAAACTTCCACAGAATCACTCTACAGTCGCTACCACCAGAGACTACAATGTCTTGTTCGGGGCGCTCGTCGAACTGTAAGCACAGCACGGACGCTGCGTGGCCGACCAGTGGTGGGTGTACAAGGCGTTGGGTGTCCAGGTTCCAGACCCTGATGCTCTTATCCCTGCTGCCGCTCACCAGGAACTTCCCAGAATACTGTATGGTATACACGCACTCGGTATGAGCTTCCTCGGGATGGTTTGGGTGTGGTAGCTGGAAGTTGGAAAATCGTCCGGTGCTCCAATTCTCTTCTAACCTCCTCTTTTGCTTGTAGAGATATTGCCAGTTGATCCTTGCTTCAGGGCCGGGAAGCAAGAGCGAAGGGTGTATCGGAGGCCCGTTGGTCTCCGCGGAGGTGCTCGTCTGTGACGCCTCTTCGGTGACCGCGCCTTGTCTTCTTTCTCGGCGTGCCACGTCGGTGGGCGAGGCCGTCGGCGAGGCACCGTGGAACGAGATGCCCTCCATCTTATCCTCAGACCTGACAGATGGACTGTCATCAGCCTCTACAGCACCATGTTGTTCGCCCCAAGCATTGCCCGCAGAGCCACTAACGGCCATTGGCTCTGATATGTTTTGTGTGCCATTCTCCAACGCGGCCCCGTCACCAAACAGCTGCCGTTCTCGCACGCGCTTTTTGTGGGATGGTTTGCCGTAATCGGTGTCTTCGGCGGCTCTGTGTCGCGTCTTCCGCTCTTTCTCCTTGAACTCTGCGCGCTTCTGTCTTTGCGCTTCCTCGTATGCGCGCACCTGTGGGAAGTTGGAGTTCCAGCCCTCTAACCTGAAAAGCAATTTCCACAAGGGGCTGTCGAGCACGCGTTCTCTCCACGAGCGGGACAGTGTTGACGCGCGTAATAGCGTCTCGGGGTTGAGATATGAGAGAATCTGGAAGGTGATCTCAGGCGGAAGGTACATGACAGGGTCGAGATGCAGGAGTGGGTTGAGCTTCTCGACGATGCCGGCTATCGAGGAGGTCCGCAGCGAGCGTAGTATGGCGTATGCGAATTCTTAACTGATGTCAGCGCAGACGCGCATGCTATCGTGATATGTACTTACCACTTCGTTCGTTCTCGCTCAGGTTCATGACCCAGTCGGGCAGGGCAAACGGCGAGTCGGCGTCCATCTCGGCGTCGGTCAAGCGCACGTCGCTGCGCATAGCCATGTCGCCCTCATTCTGGCTCCTCGTGTCCTCGGAGTAGCCTTCGTCGAAGCGGTTTGCGCTCATAGCAGAGGCGGGGCGGAAAGGATGCATGTAGGGCGGGCCAGAAAATTGGGCGTTGGGGTTGCCTAGAGGGCCTGCCATGGTGGTGCACGCGAGGATGTGGGTGAGTGGAGACAAAGGTCGCTAGCTGGAAAGTGATGCTGCGGCCGTTTGCAGCGCGCTGGACTGCGGCGAGGGGATTGTGTTATGCTGTCTCAACATGCGCTGGCAGGGTGTCGGGCTGGTGCTGCCTGGCGCTCTTGGTAATCAGGGTACTGGCGATGCGGAAAGCGACGGGTGGCGAGGTACGGGGTGCGATGCGCGTTCGGGTTATCACGGCGGGGTGAGGTCAATCAAAGATGGAAATGTCAACTTCGCGATGGCTCTCCCACTTTCGCAGAGCCTCGAGATGCCCAGGTGCAGCATGTCATGGCTTCCCGCGACACACGCCCGTGCACCCGCGCCCATTCACTCCAGATCTGCCGCTAGCCGAGCTGCCTAGGGCATGCGGACTACTACTCGTGCGGCCAAGTCGCTGCATCTGAGACACACCAGGAGAGGGACGCTAGATGCCCGCTTAACGGTCTGATGCACTAGAAGTTGAAGGATGCGGGCTAGAAGAAATGCAACAATTCCCCGATGTCGTTGCTTTCATGTGAAGGTGTGCCGTCTACGTGAAGCAGCGATTAGTCAACGGTTGCGCAATCGCCTGTTTGAGTTTTACTGTTGGGACATCGTGGGGGAGTTTGTGCTGTCAAGATTGCCCAGCTGTTTGAGGATGCCTGATGATGCCTGACAGATGTGACAACTTCACGTGGATGTCCGACGGCTGTCTTGAAGCTTTTATTATATCGCCCAGGTAGCTGCGGGCGTTCAAGCGCCGATCGGGAACATCACCTGCTCTCGCGTTCGCCTGAGGTGGACCAATACTGTGTGCCCGTCGGACGGCATGTGAGAACGGGCGCGTATCCAGCTTCCCATGGCCTTCCCGGCAACCTCATGGCCAAAGATTGGGAATTGCTTTCTCACACCGCTCGACTGCCGCTCTCTAGCAATACTCGCATGAGCCGCGTGGTGTACTTGGGGCTAGCAAGGCTGGAGAAATGGGTCCGCGACGGGCAGGCAGAGGGGCGATCGCGGCCCAAGGCAGCGCCTGTGCCGACATGACGAACCGCAGGCGGCAGATGCTGGAGATGATGTGATAGGCACGCGCGTGCATTCACATTGCTAACCTGGCAAGTCATCGCAAGTCATGAGCGAGGCGCCGTTGTGAGTCAGCTGTCATATATCGCAGACTCGGTCGTGATCAAAGGACTGGCACTGGAAATGAGTGGAACGGCGACGCGCCGCATGGCTGTGGGGTGTCACCGAGCCGTGCTGCAAACAGCGTCGTTGGCACAAGCAGCGCCCAACGGCCAGCTGGACAGCCTGGGACAGCCAGCAGATGCCAGTGACGGGCGTGTATTGAGTTTTGTAGTCGCAGTCACGTGCCGGCTGCAACGCCTACATGGGCGGGTGAAACGACGAGCCGTGAACCCCTTTAGGCGTGCGCCGCCCGACACCTCATGCGATACGTCCTGCGAGATTACACGATTATCGCCCATCTACAGCAATAAGAGATTATCGCGACCCGAATGCAGGCCGGCGGTGATTTTGCTCCTGTCGCCGCACGCTCCACATCGCCGCCCTGTTCAGTTAGCAGCAGCGACCCTGACCGCCTAGGTGCTAGCGCGAGCGCAAGGAGATCGATGAAAGCAGCATGGAGGGCGGACTATCGTTTCACTCGGGTCTGGTGAGAGCCCATACCACCTTTGCCGTCTCCCATCCACCCCCCAAGTCGCCCTCACAGCACACTGCACACGCCCGGATGACCTCGACCGGGCCGCCTGCCCTCATGTCGCACCAGAGCTTCCAGAGCACCTACTCGAGCTACTCGCACAGCAGCGCGCGCGACACGCAGAGCACCCAGGCCACCAGCAGCAGCACCCTCTTCCACCCCCCGCCCGCCTTTCCCACCGCCAGCACGCCCGTCAATGGCGGGCCCGTCGAAGCCTCCGACAATGTCCTCAACAAGCGGGCGGACAAGGACACCTCGCTGTTCCAGCGCTGCCTGACGCTGCAGATGCGCCTGCGCTTCATCCCGGGCTTCGATCGCTGGATCGCCGAGGAGGAGGGCAAGGCCGACGACGATGCCGACCCCGTCACGCTGCTCTGGCGCACCTTCCGCCGCGGCTACCCGCTGATGGAGCTGTACAACGCCCTGGGGCCCCGCACGCTGCTGAGCATCCCCAGCTCCAAGCAGGACGAGAAGAGCCTCAAGAAGAACGAGAAGATGGCCTGCTACAAGTTCATTCAGAGCTGCGTCGCCGAGCTGGGCATCCCCCAGGAGAGCTGCTTCATCCTCGGCGACCTGTACGGTGACGACACAACTGGTTTTGTGAAGGTGAGCCCGCTCGACGAGACTGTGGGGTAGGCCCGCGCTAACAGATCCCCAGGTCACCAACGTGGTCAACAAAGTGCTCGACGAGCTCGTCGCCCAGGGCAAGATCGCTGGCGTTGCCGAGACCCTCGAGAACGTTGGCGGCGTCGTCACCAAGCGCACCCAGCGCGAGCACATTATCGACGAGCTGGTCAAGACGGAGCGCACCTACGTGCAGCACTTGGAGCTGCTGCAAGAGTTCAAGAAGCTGGTCGAAGAGAAGGGCGTCATCAGCGGCGACCAGGTCCACGACATATTCCTCAACCTCAACGCCCTCCTCGACTTCCAGCGCCGCTTCCTCATCCGCGTCGAGCAGACCAATGCACAGCACCCGGACGAGCAAAATTGGGGCAACCTTTTCGTGCTGTACAAGGATGCCTTCAAGGTCTACGAGCCGTATATCGCGAACCAGAAGAAGTGCGAGCAGATCGCCATGCGCGAATTCGACAAGCTGAAGGAGACGGGTGGACCGCCAGAGATGCGACAGATGGTGGAATCGCCGACCCTCCTCGCATCTTTCCTGCTGAAGCCCTTCCAACGACTCACCAAATACCCCCTCCTACTTCAGGTATGACCTCAAAATCCCAGCTCAGAATCTCATTTCTAACACTTTGCAGCAACTCCGCGACAAGGGCGATCTCGACGAAGGACGGCGCGAAGACATCTCCAAGGGCATCGAAGCAGCCTCCTCCGTGCTCGCAGGCACCAACGACGCGATTGCTCGGGAAGAACGCGTCGAGGCGGTTGAGGAGCTCAAGACGCTTGTGGAAGACTGGAAGGGCCACCGAATTGAAGGTTTCGGAGACCTGCTTCTACACGGCCAGTACACGGTGCTCAAAGGCGAGAGCATGACTTCCAAGAACGAAGAGCGCGAGGTAGGCACAACCGCGGATCAAACCTCCGTACATCGCTAATCCCCCACAGTACAAGATTTACCTCTTCGAAATGATACTCCTCTGCTGCAAAGAGATCAACGTCAACAAGCCAAAGAACAAAATGTCCACGCGAACCCTGGTCACCAAAGACGGAAAGCCCAAGTTACAGCTCAAAGGCCGCATCTTCATGCAAAACGTCACAGAGACCATCTCCCTACAGAAGCCAGGTACGCTTGACATTCTCCACTTACTTTGTATCCGCTAACCATTCAGGCTCCTACACATGTCAAATCTTCTGGAAGGGCGATCCTGGAATCGAAAACTTCATCATCAAATTCACTTCCGAGGAAACCATGAAAAAGTGGGCCATGCAGGTCGATACCCAGCGCCGTGTGTGGAAGGACCAGGCGCGCACCAGTGCCAGCACCACAGCCTCCAAGCCATCAGATACCCAGTTCGCGTACATGCGCGACCAAGTGCTCGAAAATCCCTACCAGGAAGACGATGATGAAGATGGCGACGAGGACATTGACCCCGTCACAGGCTATCCCTACAGACAAAACAGCTCCACGCCCTCGCTGCGTTCGCGGTCAACGACTGGTGAAAGCGGCCCTCCAGATGGAGACTCAAGGGTACCGCCTCCACGTTTTCCTATGGGCTACAACGGTCAGCCAGCACTAACCCTGCGCACCCAGCAGATACAGAATGCCTCCAACAATGAATCCTACTTCTCACCTACGGCAGAAACACCAATGCAAACTCCCATGTCCACACACTCCAATGCCCGAACAAGCTCATCGTCGAACGGCACATTCCCATTCCCCCGTCAAGCCCCACCAAACGGATACTCTCACGATGAGAACAACCGCCACACTGCTCCTGCTCAGTCGCGCCACGGATCCAGGGGCGAAAACGTTCAACATCCCCAAGGCCGTGCGATGCAACGCCCGTCACTTCCGGCCAATTCCACTCTTTCACAGCAAGGTAGATTGCGGGCAGCTAGTAGCCCTGACATCAACTCACATCTCCAAGGACAAACACGAAGAGCGCCGCCGTCACAGCCAGTACCAGATGTGCCACCTTTCCCCACCCACTACGCCTACAATGCCGCGATTGTCAACCGAAGTAACAGTAACTCGCCCAACAACCCACCGCCCCGCGCTGCAACCCAGTCACCAGCGATCCAAAGAGACCGCTTGATACAGCAACGAACCGCCGCGGAGTTGGCCAACGCGAACAACGAGTACCACAACAATGCCATGCGCCGCGATCCGAACTACCCAATACGTACAATGACACCCGCATCATCGTTTGAGCGAAGCCAGGGCACTTTAACGCCAGCATCTATGGATTCACGAAACATGTCGCCACCGCTTGGCCAAGACTCGAGCATACCGACACAACTCAAAGTCAAGGTGCACTGCCCATCAGCCGGAAGCTCGATGGTTCTGGTTGTCAGCACCAACATCAGCTACCAGTCGCTCAAAGATCGCATCGACGCCAAGCTCCAGCGATCGACATCCGTCTCACTTGGCTCCGGCCAAGTCAAGCTAAAGTACCTGGACAGCGACAACACATACGTCAGCATTCAATGCGATGACGACGTACAAGAGGCGTTTGAGAACTGGAAAGAGCAGCAAAGCAATCTCAACCCTGGCGGCGGCCTCGGCGAGATTGAACTGTTCTGCCAACGGTAAATTCTGTTATTACACTGCTTTTCGGCATCACGGGGCGCTACTACACCATTTGGGGCATTGATTCAGGCGTTCTTCCACGGCGTGCTCGGCATACACCGCTTGCTCTTTTACTCTCTCTTCCCCTTCCATGATATATCCTAGGGGCAAACATACCCTTCTTGCCCCGGCGAAATTTGGGTTCGTGTCTGTATGTGGAGGGAGGCTGGCTTCACAAATACCTCTTTTTTGCTCTTCTCTCTTCTACCGACCGAACGAACGCCACTATCGCATCATCCTACCCTAACACACATTTGTGGGATCCAGAGCTGGTTGGAGGAAATCAGCTGGTTCTGTTCTGCGTGCGTTTGCCCTTCACAACAGACGAGGAAGTCTCGTGCTGCGCTTGTTATACTCTGAAAGACATGTCTTATCTATACCACGAGCTTCCGGTTTTCTTTAGCTGCTTCGTAGGCGGTGCCGGCTCATCTTTTTTCTCTCTTACTTTCTTCGACTTGAAGACTATAGGGTGGGTGGGCTTGGGTTGTGGTATGATTGAATGATGTAATGAATGCTTTCAGTTTTTTGAGAATTTGAACTTTTTTTGTCCTGTTCTTTTTGACGGACGTCTTGGTCTGAGGTATAGGACTGAGTCGTTGGTACCTTTTAGATTGTTCTGCTGAGGCGGGTGTAGGTGTTGAAATACGATTTATTTGAGTTCTGCAGAATCCCCTGACGTATGCGATCCTTGACTTCCGTTCATCGTCACATCCTGTCTTCTCAAGGCCGTTCCTACCCACACCTCATACAATGGAAAAACTGAACACCCTGGAGCCTACGTTGACCTTGGGCCACCTACTTTGCAAGGTTTTGGGTTAACGTAGTCTGCAGACCTGTTCAGTTGTTTTCTTGTATGAGGTGCCCAAACCATCTCGTTTATTCTTGAACTCCGCTCCTCCGAGCACCGACTAATATCTTGGCACGCCGAACATCTATCCATCCATTACCTCACCCACGAAACCCCATCTCAACATCACTATTCACGCCCAGCAACATCATCTCCCAATGCCTCCTTCCTACACGATCTCCTCAGCCCTCCCATCAGACGCCCACGCAATATCCTCTCTTTTCGCACTATCATGGCAATCCCCCTTCTCGCGCCTCCAATTCGGCAACGTGGAATCACACGACTTGGCCAATGCAATGACTCCTCGAATCGCGCAGCAGATAGCAGAAGGACGTATGCTGTTTATGGTTGCGCATGAGGAGAAAAGTGGGAATGCTGTCAGTGTCACGCAGTGGACTGTTCCTCCTCCCCCTTTCAAAGGAGAAAAGTGGGAAAGCAAGAACATAGGTAAATCAAAGGAGACGGGTCAGGAAAAGGAAGAGAGAAAAGAAAGAGAAGCGTTTGATGAAGAGATATACCTCAACTCCCTCCCCGCATCTTGCAACACCGCTCTCATCGCGGAATTCACAATGCGAGTTCGCGTTCTACGCGAACGTATAGTACAAGGCGCTCCGCATTTCCTCCTTGAAAATTTGGCGACGCATCCAGGGCATCGCGAACAGGGTTTAGCTGCGCGGCTTATACGGCACGTACTTGATATGGCTGATCAGAGGAGTGTGGTTGTTTATCTGGAGACAGGGGAGGAAAATAAGGCGAGGGAGTTGTATGGGAGACTGGGGTTCGAAGAGAAGGGACGAGAGGAGATCGAATTGAAGAATTTTGTGAGTAGAGAGGAGAGAGAGATGATGGACGTGGGGGATGTGCATACGGTCATTGCGTATGTGAGGGTACCTTGCAGGACGACATAAATTCCATTAAATTCTATAGGTAAGGTCTATCTGCAAGATTGATCAATCACATCTGCAACGAGTTACCACTACTCTTCCGTTCACCCAGTACATGGCACTTAGACCCTCTTGCGCAATTTCCCCGTAACTGTGAGCCTCGCAATGAGAACGCACAGTGCCGATACAGTGGCCGTTCCACCAGCGTAGAAGATGGCAGGGCGATATACATCAATGTTCTGACCCGAAGCCGCGTCTCGCCTACCACCAGCGGCCTCTAACAAGGAACCAGCAATTGGCGCGCCCATCAGATACCCCACGCTCCAGCCAGTGACCGACATACTCATAGCTACAGCAGCTCTTCCAGGGCCAAAGATACCAGCGACGACTGTTGGCTGGGTAGTGAAGTAAGCGCCGTTTGCAACACCGTTCAGGATTGCGAAGAGTACGAGTGGACCGAGGGTATTTGAGACTGGCCAGATCGCAAGCATGCTTATGGCGTTGAGCACCATGACGATGACGAAGGTGTTGAGTGGGCCAAACTTATCGCACAGTGGACCTGCGATGAACCGGCCGATGGCGTTGCAGGCATTAAATGCAGCGACGAGCGCGGCGCCAGTGCTTGAGCTGAGACCAATCGACTGCGCAAACAATGGAAGATAGTACGGCGGGACGAACAGCGCAAATACACCGATAGCGCTCGCGACGAATGTAGCGATGAAGGTGAGAGACCGGAACATGGAGAGATCGACAAAAGGTATGTTCCTGAGCGGCACACGATCCTTTACCATCCACGCAGCCGGAAGACCAATAGCCCAGGTAAGCAGGCCCTGTATGCGGAAAGTCCACTCGATCCCGACTTTTTCGTACAGGGCGTTCAATGCAACGGCCATGACGCAGCCACCTACCCCACCGCCCAGCTTGATAAGACCGTTTGCGAGACCGAGACTAGCGCTGAAGTACTGCACGGGAACTGTGTTGCAGACAGTCCAATTGAGCGACATACCAATGCCGCCGATGACGCTGTACGTGCCGAACAGACCAGGCAGATTGGACGTGCAGAAGCTCGCTCCTATCAAGCCTAAGCCCATGAGGAAGACGCCGAGGAGGATTGTTGTCCGGCCGCCGATCAATCTCATGAGACGAACAGCTCCTAGTCCGTACAAAGCGCCGCCCGCGAGTCCCAAAGATCCGACGTAGGAGAGTGTGGATGGGGGAACGTCTTTCAGCGTTGAATCGAGTAGCGCGGCTTGTAGAACGCCCCAGCAGTTGATGATGGCGTTGTTGCAGAAACTTGTTGTTGAGGAGCCTGCGACTACTATCCATCCGTATCCGCCGGCTGGTACTGCGGTGACGGAGTAGGCTGCGTTGTCCGGTGTTTCGTCATGGATGTGACTCAAAGACGACAGTCTGGAAGTTGGAGTAAAGGTCTTGCTTGATGGGGGTTGCGGAGTATCATGGAAGCTCGTGAGCTCGATGCGGTCTTCTGTGATGGTAGTAGTAGACATCTTGATGCTGTTATCCTCGAGTCGTAACAGGAGGGCAGACGCAGACAAACTTATGCGTGTCTTGCGAAGGGCGCGTTTACACGCCTTAGACGCCAGATTGACTGGTACTCAATGTTGCCATGCAGGTAAGCGCAGCATGCCATGGGCCGATTTGCCCTCGCTTCTTGCAGAAGGGGCTTTTCCGATGGAAAGGGAAATTGAGACCTACAGCGAAAGGGCTCTCCAACTACAAGCAACGATGGATTTTCAGACGTGTTCATGTGTGTACCTCTAGGATACCATTGTACTGATGCGTCTATTACGGCCCATACCTTCAGAGCATGTATTACATCTGCTTCCCTCGGGCTGTTGTCGCATCGCACGTATTATGTTGTCATTGCTGCATTCACGTGTGCAATCGCTCAAGGCGACCCTGAAACATGGAAGGACGGATCAGTAGACGACTGCTTTCCGACGCATAATCACGCTGGATGGTACTCTGTCCCAGATTGCTGAAGAACAAAGCGGGGAAGCTGCGGAGGTGCGCTAGTGCGTGATTAGTCATCTAAGCTACCCTGGGTCCAGGGTCCACGAGCTATCGACTGTCTAGCACTTATGGCACTCACCACGCGCTTTTGAGTCCTACACGTCTCGCGATTGTTCAAACTACAGACCATCAGCATGTGTAGTCGTCCTGTCCGAGCTCTCGGTGCTTCCCAAGCTTTGCAAGGCGTGAGACCAAGTTTCTCCCCTCAACTGCCCGGTTTTCCGGCCTAGGCGCGCTCGGTGCCCACTCGCTGAGACGCGACACGCCTCATCCAACATCGCATCCTTGATCAGTCCACGTCATGGCACATGGCATGTGCTATAGACAGCATATAGAGTTGTCGTATACCAGATCGCTTGCTAACACTTCGCACCTATTAACACATAGCTTATTTACTGCATAACCTACAGTTACAGCATCCACAATGGCAACTGAAGACACCGTCGACCTGAGCGCATCGCACGCGCCCCAGCAAGCATCCCTCGAAGCATTCACCTCCATCCTCGACACCGTGAAAAGCGAACTCCTCAAACTCCGTCGCGACCATGACAGTAAATCCACCCTGTCCCGTCGACTCTCCTCATTCCTCTAACAACCCCATCCAGAGCACGAACCCGAATACTTCCGCGCCATCTCGCACCTCTCCGACAGCGACCTCGCATCCTTCACCGCCGACGACCTCGAATCCGTTCGCGTAGCCGTAACAGCATACGGTCTGCATCTGCTCGGCAAAATCAAACTCCCCGCGTTAGACAACGGATACATTCACATTCGCATCTTTGGATCTGCAAAAGATGGGACAGATGGAAGTAGTCTTGACGAGAGGGAGTACAGTTTGCACAGTATACATACGGAGGAGGTGCTCAAGGAGGATGGAGACAGGGTTTATAGAGCGGTATTCGGGAAGGAGGATGAGTTGGAATGGTTTGAGACTTGATTGTTATACTGGGTATATCTAGATAACGAATTGGGGACTTTGGAAGGTATCTACAAGTCTTCCAGGCCTAAAGCCGCATTTACCTCCAATATGCGCTCGTGAACCAAATTAAGGGTCATCTTGCCAAACTCCTTGAACGCCTTGTCGTCTACTTGCCCGTTCAGCATCTCAAGCTCGTGGCGGTAGGCTTGGCGGAGACCAAACATCTTTGCAATCTCATTGTTGATGCTCTTCAGATTGACATCTCTGCTCTCTCGTCGCTTGTTTGCTTCACCCAGCCAGTATTCCTGAGCGCCTGGCATGCGACTCATGGTTTCGTACACGGGGATCATTTCGACATCTGAGCGATATAGTATGACAAGTCGATTGAAGCAGAAGTCGTTGTCGGGATGGAAGTACTCTTTGATGCCGATGAAGGCTTTCATGGTGTCGACAAAAGCTTGCCATTTCGCGAACAACGCCTCGATCTCGCTCAATGCCGACAGGGAAGAGAAATCACCCTCATTAGTGATTTTGGCACCAATGCTATCGAGGTTTCTGGCGAGTTCGACGAAAGCGGAAGGAGCGCAGTTGCCTGCATTTGCGTTCAGCCATTCGGCCTCGCATGCATTGATGGCGGCAGTCAGCTCTCTGATCCTACCAGAGCAGTCTTCCGAGACGGCCTTTTGCGGCCTTTTCGTCTCATGCTCCTTTGGAGCGGCCAGGGGGGCTTCCTGCACTGCGTGCTCTTGACCGATCCTGACAACGACGTCGTCGTCAACGGGGGAAGAAGAGGTAGGCTTCAAGCTATTGTCGGCGGCAACTGTGTCGATCTGCTCAAGATCCTTGAGGTCTTGAGGCTCTGAAGTCTGACTGGCGATATCATAAACAGCCAATAGAGACGCATTGACGGCCATGTTGTCGCCTAGGGGGGCCGTAAAATCGAATGCTCCAGTCCAATTTTCAGGGTCGAAGCCGGACGAGATGGTAGGTACAGCGACGCTGCATTGAGAAGGCTTGAAGGTGAAAGCGAAAGCCGATGCTAACGGAGATGTTGCGACGGGAGAACTAGGGTGAGAACTGACACCGTCTATGGTGTTTTCGCTTTCATCCTCCTCATCGCTTTCATAAGGTTGTGGCGAGCGACGCGATATGATTTCGGAACCGTCCCTTTCGTCAGGCTCATCAGATGGTTCGTCATCTTCAGCGTCGTCTGTAGAATCATCTGATAGTTCTTCGTTACCCCCAGCTAAATCCCAAAGCTCGTCGGCAGTATCTGAATCAAGGTCATGATCTTCAGATGTGTCGTCAGGGACGTACTGCGTCTCAGTCTGGTCATCCTCGGACTCATCGTCTGAGCCAACGTCGACGCCACCATCACTATTGTTGGTCTCCATGGAGGAACAAGCATCTTCACCATCTTCGTGAGAATGGGAGGGCTCCGCCGATGCTTTGACTCCTGTCGGCGGTTCAGTCTGCCCATCAGACGCAGCGCTGTGCGCCTGAAGCTGTTGAACGTGGTCGAGGAAGAGCTGCCGACCGGTTCGACCGCCTTCAGGGTCGCCTTCAGACGAATTCCAGTACGTTCTCCAATCATCCAAGTCTTCCAGTGCCTCATCGATATCCTCGTTATATGAAGTGTTGCAGTCTCCGTGCTCGAGCGACGAAGCCCAAATTTCGGTCTCCCAAGATGATGCAAGCGCGACGACGTCAAGGTGCGTTGTATGATTCGCGGATCTCAGTAACTCGCAGATGCCTCGAATGTGGCTTCGGAAGCCTCGACGGTTGTCTTTGCGCAGCTGCACCTCTGGTGAGAGGCCTTCCTGGTGGTTGTCCGTATTGAGCATGGCCTCGGTGGCTTCGGTGGCGGAGTCGAATTGAGCACATGCGTAGCCGAGGCTGGCTGGAGTGTCCATAGAATGCGACTCAGATGCGATGCTCTCGTTCTCAAGCATGTCGTAGTTCAATCTGTCCATCTCCCAAACGAACCATTCTTCACCTGTCCAATAACTTCCATCATCAACTGGCCAAGCCTCAGACTACTTCTTGTCGCACTTGGTGAGGAGTCGCAAGGTTGATCTGACTTCATCGTCGTACTTCTTCCTGTCGGAGCTTTGCATCGATCGGGTCCAGATGTCGGACTCCCATTGCTTCGCAAAGACCTCAGGCTGACGTTGCATGATCGCGGCGTGAGGAGGGCTGAGCTTCCTGAATCTGGAGAGCTTGGCGGCCAGCAGTTTGATAGCTTCTCCGCGGAGGTTTTGGGTTTCCTCGGTCCATACACGCTCTTTTGCGGCTTCCACACTTGGAGCATCTGTTATCATGTTTGTGTCGGGTGGGCGCATCCCCGCAGTCAGACTGGGGTCGTAGAATCTCTTCCTTGCGCGAAGCGATTTCGGAATGAAGCCAGGCTTGGGACAGTTTGTTGTATCTGGCTGGGCAGAGGCGGGATCCGTACTGCGAGACGAGTCGTTCAGTTGAGACGACATGGTAGCGCTTCGGAGGCGGAGAGACGTGGAAAGGTCGCTGAGATGAGCTGCAGGTTGTTTCTGTAGTGAGCCTTTCGCGTGTAGTATTGGGCGACGAGAAATGGAGAAACGAGGGGCGGGGTATTTGCGTGAATCTAGGCGGAGTTGCAAGTTGCGATGAGTTGTAAAGGTCGCAGTGGTTGAAGTGGAAGCCTATTGTTTCAGGCTCAACAATAAGAGCGGGCATAGCGACCGACGAGTGAATGGTGGTGGTATATGCGCGATGAACTTGAAGTGAAAGTGAAAGCAAAGACCTGCTTCTGCTCCCCAACATAGCGACCATGTGTAAGGCCATGTCATCGACGATACTGGGGACATGGGCACCTGGACAACTGGACAACGGCTATGAGAACATCATGAGGTGTTTGATAGAACACACAGAGAACAGGCGGCAATGGTCGCTCATACTACCTTGAGCAAACGTGAAGAATTTTTTTTCCAGTGTTCATAGAATTCGACTCGCGACGCTACTAAGCCCCGCGTCCTGTTTCCTGCCCTGTTGCTGGTCTTGAGGTGCCGTGTACGGGATGGATAGCTGGCCATGTCAGAGCAGACGAAGGCTGACCTACGGTGTCCGTTCAAGGCTTATAGAACCTTCCAAGGGTCCATGGAGGCCGTTGCTGGTGTTGACATGGCCAGAAGCTGACATCCGGCTCTAGGGGATTGTCCCGGATGGCGTCCGACATACGCGCTTGACATTTCGGCCGTAATGTCCATTAAGCTACAATGAGCTAGTCCTCCATGATGGAGAGGCCCTGGCGATTGAGAGGTGACATCTTGGCTCCTCAAAACGGCAATTCGAAAGTGAGAAGACGAGGCGCGGCGTTGTGAAGAAATGAAGTAGACATCTGCCGGAGGACGTGAGGTTTGGGAAATTAGTGGGCCAGATCGCAGCCAATAGGACGCGTCGGAAGCGCTGACGCCCCGCCTCCCATTGTTTCTTCACGAGCTTTGCCACTTCGACTATGCTCAACCGATCGCAGCGCGTTTCCAAGCAACGACAGTCCAAGGGCGTTTGCTTGTGTGCTGAGCAAACAGTCTGGCAACGAATTCTGAAAATGCAGCTAAGGCATCTCATCGACCGATTGCTTCGGCCCGGAGGAAGGCGCCAGGCCGGGATACATTGCGACTAGCAGTTTTCCGAGCTGAACACGACAAACAGATGCAAACAACTCATCCTCGTCATACCAGTTCTTCTTGAGGTACTATCGGTTGTCGCGATCGTCGCCGCAGTTCTAATCCTTCGCGGTCGCCAGAATCCTTACGATCGAGCATCTGGACCAGTCTGGAACGTTACACCCGGCGCGCCCCTCTGACAGCCCTTAGCTCCCGCAGTGTATCACACCTCTGCATAACACTCTGCGCGACCTCTGCTTTCAATGCAGGGCAGTAATTCGACATACAGAAGTCTCGATGCATCCCATGGGCGGCCAGCGCGTTGCCTTCTTCCCGAAGGCAGATGCGGCCGTCCTCGCATCGAGGCATGCTGCGCCGGCATCGTCCGAGCGCCCGACCACCACCGCGCCAATACTTGATCTTGAGAATGCCGACAAACCCCTTGAGCCATGGATTGCGGAACAAGCCACGTCTGTGTATCCCAACGATGGCGACATCTGGACGCCAGCACCAATACCTGCCAAAACACTATGTCCACCTCAGTGCTCTGCGGATCGCTATCTCTTCCCAGTCTTGACGCGGAACGAGAGGCTAAGGTTGACGTTGCTCTACTACTATACTCGCGGGGCCCTTGAAGATGTAGAGTTGATGTCTCGCCTGCAAGAGAAGGTCCATCTCGCGCATGAGACAGTAGGATGGGAGTTTGTTATTGCTGGTCTTCTCAACCACAGCACTTATACTCGCATGGTCACTGTGAACCTCCCTCTTGCGATATTACCCCGTCGCGAGAGCACTTGCGCCCACACCATCAATCAACCACCAGGTGTAAGTGTTAATCATTGCTGCCAGGGTCACTACTAACAGCTATAGACTGTCTTTGCGCTGCAGAACATGGCCAAAGATTGGCGCTTCGAGAAGTCACCGCATGTCGAGCAGGGCGGTTTGCGTGCGTATGCCGGTGTACCGTTGAGATTTGATACTGAATTCGGAGAGCACGTGGCTTTTGGCTCCCTTTGTGTCGCTTCTAATTCCCCACAAGAGCCTCTCTCGCCATTAGTACAACAGTCTCTTGCAAGGCTGGCTGATTGGATTGTTATGGACATAGTGCACAGTGCAAGAGCTCGCCGTCAGAAGGAACGTAGGCGGATGCTGGAACTGCTCTCCGAAGCTCAGCAGCAGTGCGACAACCACCACAACATGGAGGAAGTGATCCCCAGAATGCTCGAGGATGTTTATCTCAATACGCGAGTGAGCATTTATCAGATCACGGACAGCCACATAACCCTTCCTGGTGGTACGAGCTTTCGCACATCGGAATTGGAGCAGGGCCTCTGGGAAGATACCGCTTGTAGGTGATTGTGAATGGTACGAGCGTGATGCGTACGCTAACTCTCGCAGACTTTGATTACGCCATCGAGAATCTCAATCATTTGGACATGACTGCGCCCCGGCCTGTACGGGCCATCGCGGCACAATGTACCAGTCAGCGTGCGGCAATGTTTCTCGTAGTAGCCAGTAACGACTTCAAGATGGTCTTTGATGATATGGATTCTTGGTTCGTACATATGTGTGCGGTAAGCAATGGTAGATTCGTTCTGGGGGCTCTTGCTGATACTCTGTGACATTTAGACAATACTATGTCGGTATTGGCAAGGCCGCGCACTTCAGGAGGCGCTCAGCGCTAAGGAAACGTTCCTTCGCGGCATTACGCATCAGCTTCGAACTCCTATACATGGCATTCTTGGCTCTGTTGAGCTTCTGACTGAGGAGCTGAAATCTCGAAACGTGGTCCCTTCGACGGCTGCCTCGTCACCCACTGCCAGCCCAGACATCGAGCAATTGGACCCATACACCTATATCAAGACCATCAAGACTTCGGCAAGAGAGCTGATCTCAACGGTGAACAGCCTCATCAAGTTGAATCAGTGGGCAGACATTGCACAGGCAGAACGCGTTCTCACCATGCATACAGTCTCTGAGATTGAAGATGCTTTGCTGAAGGAAACCCTACTAGGACTATCGGACGATCTATCCACGCGACCCTCGATTATAATACAACATCATCTACCACCAAGCTGCGACTTGATTGCTATCGACAAGCGAGTATTCCTGGATTGCATCCAGCCGCTCATGGTCAACGCTGCTCAAAATGCCGCTGGCGGTATGGTAGCAGTGACTCTGTCAGTCACGGAGGGTTGCCAGTCTCTCGTCGTCGATGTCGAACACAGTGGGCGTAAGACACCCAAAGGGAATTACGATCGCGTGTTTGACGCACACGAACAGATAGATCTCAGTGGTACCGAGTCTACTTTGGGTTTGACGTTGGCGAGCAAAGCGGCGACGCTCTTAGGTGGCGAGATCACAATGGTCACTTCGCCCCATGGTGTAGGCTCGCATATCAGAGCGATGTTCAATGAGCCCGTCTGCGCAAGCTCATTACCTGCGTCTCGTGCAGTGAAGGATAGGTTCAATGAGCTTCCGCAAAGCTTCCATCACCTGACGTCCAAATCAGCAACGTCGTCTCTCGGCAACTACTTCACCCAGTATCTTTTAAGTGCTGGCTGGACATCGTCAAGCACATCGAAGGGCGCTTTCGTAGTCGTCGACTATACACCGAATCTGGCGGAGCTCTACCGACACACATCGAACATCGATGCCGACCAAGTTGCTATATGTCTCGTTCCAGAATGCGCATGCTTTCTCGACTTCCATACGGAGCGCGTTCGGCGACAGGGAAATGTTGTATACGTTCAAGGACCATTCTTGTCGGAAACATTTGAACAAGCGTTGAAGCACGCGGATGCAATCTCTGCCGAATTCCGCGCCGCTTCTCCGGAGACGGGGCTGTGTGCGACTGGCGGGGTCGTCATCGAACCAGTCCATCAAGATCCTGCGCCCGACTTGAACGAGCGCCCCAAACTCCCATCCGAGCGAGGTTCAATCTTCCCCGCCAAGCTTCAGAATGAACTAGTCCAGTCAGTGCGGACCTTGCGCATCCAAACCAAACCTCCACCGTCCGCGAAGGATATCTCAACATCGAGCAAACCCTTGACACTCCTTGTTGATGACAACGCTGTCAATCTTCGTCTATTGGAGATGTACTGCAGTCGTCGTGGTATCCCGTTTCGGAGTGCAAAGGATGGGCAGCAGGCAGTCAATATCTTTTCCGAAGCTCTTCTACCGAAGTACGACCCACTGCTACGACAAAATCTGCCCGTCCAACCAGTCGGACTTATCCTCATGGATCTTCAGATGCCGGTATGCGACGGTATCGATGCAACACGACAGATCCGGCGATTGGAGAAGCAGCATGGGTATGAACGGAGTGTCTTGTTCATCGTCACTGGTCAGGACTCTTCGAATGATCGCAAGGCCGCAGACGATGCTGGCGCAGACGAGTTCCTGACTAAGCCGGTAGGACCCAAGGTTCTTGACCAATGGGTAAAGAAGTGGTATCCTGATATCGAAATATGAAGGATCGACTATCTATTCGCGCGCTGACGAACCTTTGAGTTCTCATACTCATCATCCGAGGATCCGTGCATAGCATATCACGAGCTGCCATACGTCACAGCTGTGCCGACAGCTACATCCGCATCGGAAGTCACTCGCATAGGCAACCTAAGCAAAATGATGCAGTAGTTTCCAGGGCCGCTACGGTCGGGATGTCGTATTGTCTGCGCATTGTCGAGCGCCTTGACCAAAGTCGCCTGTGTGGTCAAGAAGATCGATAGGCGCACGAGTTGGGTCAGCTTCCGGACACGCAGCTTTTTGTCATCACAAGCTAGCGAGACGTGATATGGCTGTTGATTGGTAGTGCCATCAGGCGATGACAGCTTTCGGGTCGCATCAGACGCCGACTGTACGCTTGCTATGACTTGATTGTACTTTGAAGGCTGAGGCATGCAGCATCACAAGTATGATGCAATTGTCAGAGGAGGACTGTACGTATGTAGTAGATTGCGCGACGCATTTCGTCATCACCGATCAGGCCCGCTGACGCCAAGTGATTATGTCATCCACATGTGAAACCAGATGCCGCAGCATATCTCCACGCCAGTAACACCCATATACCCTACCTCAACCATTATATATCTTGGTCCATCCTAAAACACATCATTCATGCTGTCTCCAGGATTCCTGTCGATAGTTTGACAATACTCAGTTGCATTGGCCCGTCTGCCCGCAGTTTAGGCGCCAGCCTCCCTAACTCTTCTCAAAGATGGCGCTATCATGGCTATCCTACTCATGCATAGCCATCCTCCTCGCAACCGTATACATCAGAAAACGACTTAGCGCCCGCAAATCCCAGATAGAACGCGATACAGAAGCCGAGAAACCTGGCCGTCTCAGGCTCGACGATGGCCTAACAGCATCCGGACGGCAACTAAAAGCCAAGCTCGTCGCAGCCATTCCACACATTGTCATCACACCCGACAAAGCAACGGAATTCAGAGAGTCGATGAATGCGTATTGGGACCAGAAAGCGTGTGAGGTGCCGCCCGCATGCGTCGTGCGACCCCGCAATGTGTGGGAGCTAGCGCAGGCGGTCAAGATTCTCAAACGCGAGTTCGATTTGAGGGTTGAGCGAGCGAAGGAATCGGGAGAAAAGGTGGAATCGATTTTTGCTGTTCGGGGTGGTGGTCATTCTGCTGTTGCTGGTGCGTCGAGCATCAGAGGTGGGGTTCTCATCGACTTGTCGCTCTTTAAACAAGTCATTCCTGCTGAAGATGGGCGAAGTGTGGTCATTGGCGCGGGCTGCAAGTGGATTGATGTGTACTCGGAACTCGAGAAAGAGAGTCTCGCAGTCGCTGGCGGTAGAAACTCTGCTGTCGGTGTCTCTGGCCTCACGCTCGGCGGTGGTCTCTCGTTCTTCTCGCCACAATACGGTTTCGTGTGCAGCAACGTCCTTGAATACGAGGTCGTGTTAGCAGATGGAAGGATCGTAACTGCCTCGGAGTATGATAAACCTGATCTTTGGCGCGCACTCAAAGGCGGAGGAAACAACTTCGGCGTCGTGACAAGCTTCACGGTCCGTAGTTTCGCTGCGAAGAACGTGTGGAGCGGATTCATCTATCTCCTTCCATGGAAGGCCCCTGGTGTGCTCACAGCACTCCATGATACCGTCTCGAAAACACTGGCCGGCGAGCTAGACCAACGCTTCGACCCCTACGCCGCGGGCCCGTTGGCATGCTTCACGTACCTCCAATCCGTCGGCATCCAAGCAATCTCTGTACATCTCGTTCACACCGCGCCAGACACGAAAGAAAAAGGCTGGCCGGAATGCTGGCGTAGCTCTGGATTCCATAAGATTGGGCGTGTGTGGAGTACGTTCAAGATCCGCAGTCTAGTCGGTGCGACAGACGAACTCAGTGTTTTGAACCCGCCCGGACGACGACAAGAGTTTGCAACTACGACGATCAAGAATGATAGACTGACGCTGGAGGCGTCGCATAAAGCATATCGTGATGCGATACCAAAGGTCAAGAAACATGGTATCAAGGGCATGAATTGGACGCTTGTCCTTCAACCTTGTTTACCTTCTTGGGCGCGGAAGGGCGATGCGAACCCGCTAGGTCTTGATGAGGGGTCTGATGAGCCGCTTATCAATGTACAGTTTACAGTGAACTGGGCGTTGGAACAGCATGATGAGGTGGTGAGGGCTATCACTAGAGAGGCGATCGAGCAGATTGATGCTTTTGCCACTGAGCACGAAATGAGTCATCGATATCGCTACTTGAACTACTGCGCAGCGTGGCAAAAGCCATTCGAGAGCTACGGAGAGGAGAATTTGAGATTCTTGAAGGGTGTTAGTCGAGACGTTGATCCCGAAGGATTATTCCAGCGTGGTTGTGGAGGTGGCTTCAAGTTAGGGTAGTGAGTTCATCTCGCCTCATCGTCATGTATCATGGGAAATGGGCGGGTGGTTTAGAACAATATAAAATTACTACACGTGCTACAACGGCCGTCGGAAAGAGTCATCATCTATCATCAACCCTCGTATTCTCGTCAACGCCGTTCGCTCTAGGAACACTTCCTCTGAGCCGCTCATGCTACCTCATCCCCACATTATACATGTCTGGAACGCCATAACACCCCTATTGCAATCGGACTCTCGCTACGCATTCAAGCAACTCGACTAGTCAAGGCCGGCGGCGATCGCGGCAAGCGCCCAGTCCATGAAACCGGCGTTGGTATCAAGGATATTGGTGTTGAACTCGGGCAATGTGGGGTAGAAGTTGGTGCTGTATCCGAACTCCATGGTGAAGCCATGGATCTTGTTCGCGCCAGACTTGGCGTATGTACGGCTAGCAGCGTAGTCGTCCGAGGCACCAGAGGTAGCGTAGAGGCCGACAGACTGCATGGATGTGTAGTCACGGCCACCGACTGCTCGCATCGCAGCCGCCGTCTTGGCAGCAACGTTCTTGATGTTTGTCGCATCAGCCGAGGGAATGTACTCCTTGTACGTGGAGTCTCCAAGACGACCTCTCTTTCCATCATACGCGCTGTTGAGGAAGTTCATGGTGGTGCTGGTGCTCTGAAGCTCATCGTCACCCCAGTTGTACAGGATGTCGCCGGTAGCGGAGTGAATGTCCATGAACCACCTGATCTTCGGGAATGAGTCGTAGACGCTGACGTGGTTCTTGGTCTCAGACTCTGATGCAGCAGCTGAACCGTAAAAGGCCTCGGAGCTCGGCGAGGTGGAAGCAGGGGATGTGGAGGGGTCAAAGTACTTCTTGAAGTTCCAGAGGAAGTCAAAGTTGCGGTTGATGTCTACACCAACGGAGGCGCCGCTGGTGCCAGATCGCGTGTTGCGGTTCTTGCGCCATAACGATCCAGATGACTGGTCGTATGCCACACCGTCTGGATTGACGAGCGGGAAGAAGACGATACCGGCAGCAAGGACACTCTTGACTTGAGCATTAGTGTATGACTTGCTGCCGTACTTCAAGCCGCTTCCAGCCTTGTTGGCGGCGAGAAGATCCGAGATCCAGTAGATGAGCTGATCGGGGCCTCCGCGTTCGCGTGCGTGCATTCCAGCGGAGAGATAAAGGCGGTACTTGGATTTGTCTGTGCCCGCGCCAACGTATCCGGCAGTTTGCGTAGCGCCATTGAAGGTCTTGTATGGCAGAGTGACGGTGCTGATGCCGTATCCGTTGACGAGCCCCTTGATGGCAGAGTTGATTTCGGTGGGGTTCATGATACTGCTCATGGTCGATCCCGTGGCCTTGGTGCCAAGACCAGACGGTGTGACAGAGCCGCCCGACCAACGGTCGCCAGTGCCGATCGGTGCGGTAGCAGCCCTCTTGCTGAGATCCCGACGGTGTAGGCTGATCTCTGCATGGTTCTCGTACTCTTTGGAAAGATACGCGATTTGGTCCTCGGTCAGCAGGGCGTGGAGCTCGAAATGGCCTTCTTTCGATGGCACCGCCTTGGGTCTGCAGCCAAGATCGTATGTGCCATTGTTGACGATGTCGAGAAAGTGTGCTGGAGAAGGGGCGTTGAAATGAACAGGCAGAAGGCTACCGAGAACGGTAGTGCTCTGAAGTATCAGAGCTGCGGCAAGTGCGTACTTCATCTTGAGTCTGCTGGGGGTGAAGAATATGGGGAACGTTAGAATGAAGTTGCCGGTACTCTTCAGTATGTCGTGAAACAAGGTTGTTTTTATACATTCCTTCCATTTTGGTGTAACGATCGACCTTCTCCTAATGGTCGGCAGGGGATACTCTAGCATAAACGTGTCGGAGGTGCCATGGTGTCGCCTGCCGCTGATTGGCCGACTTCGCGAATTACGCCGGGCGCTAACTTGATCTCCTTCTGCTTTCGTCCTGTCTCCGCTGAAACTCCAGATGCACCTGCCCGGGAGGATCAAGTAGATCCAGAGATGCATGGGCAATGAGAGGACCTGCCCTGGGTGATGTGCAGCACTAGATAAGATAGATTAACTGGCCCTGAAAAGCAAGCCCTTTGGGGCAAAGTTTAAAGCTGGATGGCCGGACGCTATCGTGAAGCGGTGATTTCCATCTGGGCATTCCAGGGGAAGCAGGTGGCAGGACAAGACGGCTTCACCGAGCATACCTGCTGGCCATAGAGGTGCCGCTGTGTGGTTATCCCGGGTCGCGACATACTGGGTGGCGGCGGTGAATGACGGATGTGCGCTCGCACACGACAACCACGAGGTATCGCGCCATCGTCGGAGTCCGAACACTGATCGCTGAGAAAGGTGCAAGTCACAAACGTGCGACTTGCGTTTGATGATGCGGATACTCAAGCCTCGGGCGATGCGGGTATCCGCCGCCAAGAGGGCCACGTGCCTGAGCCTAAGCAAGGGCAAATTGTCCGGCCGCTAGGTACGTCACCGTCACGCCAAACAGCTCAACATGCTACATGCGACACACGACATGCGTGACAGACTCTCCCATCTGCAGATATCGGTCGATTGATGAAGAACGATGTACGACAGGCCTGTGGCCCTGGTATGCTTTTTCCGCGTGTTGGCAAAAAGCAGCTCCGCCGGGGACAATCACACTTTTGCCACCCTATCATGCTCCAAAAATCCAAGATTGTGCTATAAGCCGGGAACCCCCGCTTCTCCATGTCGAACACGATCTCCGGTGTGAACCGCTTGTTGCTGATGACCAGCACAGCTTCTGCGTTATCCCCACGCCACTCACACGTGCATTTGTCACAGATCAGACCGCATCAATCATGGGGGTAAGCGAATGGCGGTGATCAAGCAACGATGCGACTTCAATACACACGCGACCAACGCGCGACTCGGAAGGATCAGCTGACGCGAAGCTGCCCATCAATTCAGCTATACCTAGGTAGCTAATTAGATCCTTTCTAGGTACCGTTGGCCGGTCGGTGATACTCCACTCCGTCGATCGTCGTGGTCAACGTTCCGTTTGCTTCGAGTATGTTCTCCATTACATCGATCCTTAAATGAAATCCGTTCGGACCAGTCTTCTTACTTCCAATCGCGGACCCCGTCTGCGAGATATCAGAGTACCAATCAAGCTTCTGGTCCCACACATTCGGAATCGAAACCGTCAGCTCAACGTCCTCCCAGCCGTTGATGACGTGCTCGCCGTCATTGCAGAAGTTGGTGTAGTTGGCAGCGACACGCTTGATGGAGTCTGCTTGTGGATGTGCCGTGTCTCCGATGAGCTTTACTTTCGCAAACCCAGAGATCTTGCCATGAAGCGTATAGTTTCCTGGCTTAAGTTTGGGTAACAAAAGGGGTTTGGCTCCTGGTGGGAATGGTGTCGCCCACGATATGCGACCAGGCACATTATAAACTGGGACTGGACGCGCAGGCTTGCGATTGACCATGTGAGCGAGCATGATACGATACTCACGCCCACCTGGCGCAGTGGAGATTGGACACTGTAGCGGATTAGTGCCACCACATGCTGGCGATGTAACGATGGCCTGCCAGTACACAATCCGCGTGCTGTCTAAAGAGAAAGCCGGGTCCGCTCGGCCGTTCCAGTTCGGATCGTCAAAGCCTCCCTCGCTACCATCGCCTTCTCCGTTGACCTGCTGCCCGTAGTACGACTCACGATCCCCATGACGATCTATCAAGATCGGTTGGAAGAAGCGACGTGGGCCATTGTTGCGTGTCGATGCGGCTACGGCAACAGCAACGATGTCGATGAGAGGGGGAATACCTCGCATACCCGACATCCACATCTGGCGTACGCTGGTACGCGTATCCTGAGTGACGAACCACTGGTCATCGGCAGAGAAGGCAATAGGATCGGCGTAATCAGGGTGACTAGTCAGGCGGCGAACAACCCCAGTCTCGATGTGAACCGCATAAAGATCGATATTTGTCGACTCGGTCGGCGCACCGATGTAAAGTATCTCGTCGCCGGAACCACTGAAACCCCGCAGTTCGCCAATTGTGATTGAGTCGGGGTGAAGCTTCAACTCCTCGCCGTCAGCCGTTATGAAAGCTCGGCGTTTTGGGTCCACGAGCAGGTCGACATCAACCAGGTCATAGCGAGGCGCACCAGGGCCCGACTCTGAGGGTCTCGCATTGAACTCCAGACGCCCGAAGTAGGAATACTGCCCAGCGTCGTTGGTAAACGAACTCCAACCAATATGAACATCATCGGGGTGCACACGCAGCTCACGCGGGCTGCCACCCGACCAGTGAATTGGATAGATGTGGATTTTGTCAGGCGTACATTCATCGCTAGCCAACTGCTCTCCGTTGCAGTCGAGGATGTTGTGGCCCCAGATTGCTTTGTCGCCGCTTCTGAAGACATGAGGATAGTCTCGTTGTGGATCCAGTTCTCTTGCGTTCTCAGCCGGTACCCCACACGTGAGGCACTTCCATGCATCGCCATTGCTGAAGGTTGAGCTATCAGCTTTGATGAGGATTAACTGAACTCCATCGTAGATGCTTGCGGGGTCGGGAGCCGCGGGAGCTCCAACGAAGCTCACAGTGACAATGACGTTCCGGCCGTCCGGAGTGAAGTCTCCTGCTTGAAACTTCTCGGTAAGCTCTCTCGCGATGCACCCGGTTTGATTAGGACATGCGCCAGGGTCTTGGCTTGGAGAAATGGGAGGTAAAGGTAGTTCGACGATGTCAAACTTTTCGGGCTTTAGAGGCTTCGGAATGTCTAGCGGGGTGTTGAGAACAGCTTGTTGGTTGTTGTTCCTGGCTGGAAGGTCGTGGTTGCTTTGATAGGGCGATGGTAGGCTTGCGCCGAGGGCAGCTGCACCAGTGTAAAAGTGCAGCAATAATGTACTGTAAGCGGTAGCCTTGATCATGATAACGACTTAAGTAGTTCGAATGCACGGTGGGTCTTGCAGCAGTTGCTTTATAGATGGATGCTGTACTGTGAAGCTTGTGAGCAGTAGTGTACCTCCATGGGCCGAATACGCGATACGCGATACGCGTACTGCGAGCTTTGACCACTGCCACCTTCTTACAGGCTGCGCACGGCATCCGACCTTGCTCCATACGGTGGACTAAAAAGATAATCGTGAAAAAGATAATCGTTCCCCAGTGCGGAACGATTATCTTTTACGACTCCATACCCAACCGATGTACATTCGGAGGGTAACTTTCGCCCGCCTCCGCAGCCTCTCAGGTATACTCAACTCCGCTATTGTCTGGTGGCGATGCTCGACGGCACACATGTTTAGTTCCCCAAAATGCAGTTCACCGTGGCGACTCTTGAGCTGCAACCGGGTCCCCAAAAGAAAAACGTTTACATCATGTCAACGTTTTTCTTTTCGCCTTGCAAACTGCTACCTTTTCAGGGAGCATTACAAGCGCCGTGTGTGTGTTGCATACAACTATTGAAATTTTGAATTTGTGATAGTGTAGCTAAGGATGTCACCCGTTGTTGTATGTGCCGCATCGCCCGGAAGCCAGAACAGCTGGTGGACGGGTGGCTGAAGGCTTGAGAGCTTTTGAAGATAACGGATCAATGGAAACCGGCCCTTAGCTACAGATGCTTGCGGTCGCGATTGTCGATGAATAGCTGCAGGATTGCGAGTTGCTTCCTTATGATTCCGTTGGCTTCCTTCAATGTGGCAGTACGCTTTCCCTCGCGAGCTTTATGTTCATCCTTAAGAGCTTCTATCTGACACTGAAGCTGTTGCTTTTCCCGGTTGTGTTCCTCTTCGAACTTGCGATGCTCTTCAGGCGTCGCTTGACTTGAACTTCTGAGGTCGTCCAAGATTCCTTTAACTTCACGATAAGCTTCTCTTTCTTTCTTAAGCACGTCTGCGTGCGTCTTCTCAGTCGCGAGGCAACTCGCCCTAGCTTCCTCGAGATATTTCGCGTTCTCAGCTCTTAGCTCATTCATAGTGGTCTGAAGCTCACGATAGAACGCATTGCCATCCTTAATCTTCTTGTCGCAATCCTCTTGCAGCTTACGATAAGCTTCTCTCCCTTGCGCTAGCTCTTCAGTGTGTTCCTCTTCAAGCTTGGTACGAGCTGATGTCGCTTCTTCAAGCTTTGAAGCGTGGTTGATTTTCAGCTTTTGCGTGGTCTCTTGAAGCTTGCGAAGAGCGTCGGATGACTCGCTGATAGCTGTTTCGTGATCTTCCTTCAGCCCAGCTATCTCAGCGGCATGGTCCTCCTTGGATTGTGTGAGGTCCTGGCGAAGCTTGTGAGAGACTCTCTCTTCTCGTTGCAGAGCGGCAGCTCCATCGCGGGTGTCTCTGAGCTGTGAGGTGGCTCGTTCTAGCTCATCCGCGTGTTCTTGGTTGGATCTGGCTTTAGCGTCCTTGTTTTGTTCCCTCAGGACCTGTATTGCAGTACGGTGGTCCGTACGAAGCTGTTCCACGATAGCTACATGTGTCTTCACGTCCACGTCGATTTTAGCCTCGAGCTCGGTTCGCGTGTCGTTGGCCGAATTGGTGAGCTGCAGGACTTGATCTCGAAGCTCCTTGACCTTCTTACTCGAAGCCTCCAAAGCGGCCGTATGTTCCGTTTTGAGAGTCTCGATAGCTTTGTTGTGCTGCGATGCAAGCTTATCAGCTGCGGCTTGCAGGGCGGTTTTGGCATCGGAGCCGGCGGCGGTAAGCTCTCCACGAAGCTCCTCCTCACGGCTGTTGTTGTCTTGCTTCAGTTGAAGGATCTCCCGGTTGAACGTCGATTTAGCTTCCTCTTTGGCGGTTTTGAGCTTCTCGATCTCGTCTGTGAGGCCGGCCTCGGATTTGCGTTTGGATTCGTTTAGCTGGTCGACCTCCTTGCGTAGCTTCGTTTTGGCCTCGTGCTTGTATTCAGTGAGCTCACGGGCTTTTGCATCCAGATCAGCTTCGATCCCAGCTTTGCTGTCGGTAAGCTCTTGGTTCTCCTGACTTAGCCGAGCTTCGACTTCGTCCTTGCTTTGCATCAGCTCCAAGGCCCACCTCCATAACTCGGCTTCTTCTTGTACGCTCTGTAGATCTCGTGGGGCTTCAGCTATGGCTTGTCTGGCTGCACGCTAAGCCTCCCTAAGCTGCGGGCTAACAGTGGAAGGAGCCCGGGGAGTGTGGTAAGCTATGGTCCGGATGGTAATGTCGAACTGCTCGAGCCTCCGACGGGGAATTGGGGAGTCATAGTCGCTATCAGAGCTGCTCATTGTGGCGTTGGGGCGATTTGGGGTCTGGTGTTGTGGTGAGAAATAAGTTAGGGCAGGAACCCGAGAAGGTGATGGACAGACCCCACTGAAATGACGCATCGTCTAATGACACCCACACCAAGCCTCAGGACAATATCTCTGATTGACAGCATGCTAATTCATGTTCAATCTGTTTAGTGTCCATAGCCGATGTAATAGGCTTTCCTTAACGTCCCTCTATCGGGACCAAACCATCTGTTCAGCTGCAGCTGTAGTGGCGTGTGGAAACCAAACATCGGCATACTGACATAGCAGCATTCCCGAATATGCCCGAGCGCCCGATAGAGAGATGTAATATCTCTGGATAACGAAACGTGGATGGGTTTCGTAGTCAGCATCCGCAGCTTCGTGCTCTTTCTTCTTGGCGTAACTGAATTGGATGCCAGCGTGCGCGGTTGGGCGCCGCTTTTCCTTCATGTTCCCGAGTGGTTCGACGATGTCGACGTTTTTGTGCCTGCTGATATTGCTTTCGATGTACGCGCGTGATTAGCTCGGAAGTGGTGCAGCAGGTGGCTCCTTCCACCTCGCTGCCACCCCACCAACACCAGACAAATTTGACTTCGCAATCCCGCTATTCGCGGCGAAACACTACGATGAATAAAGACGCTGCTGCTCAAACGCCCCCGGATACTTCCGATGACATCTTCGCCGAATTCGAGGACCTTAAAGCTATGAGTATCACAATTTGTGAGACGGCAACCCGCATTGCCAAAGAGGAGCTAGAAGAGTCAAAGCGAGCTCTAAAGCCAGCCACCAAGAGGCAAAGAGCTTCTAACCCTAATGACGCATCCTCCTCGGACGAGCAAAGCTCCAGTACGAAACGGTACCGACCAAGGCAGGTAGAAGCTTCCCGTCCTTCACCCATGGGAAGCTCCATTGCGCCTGTTTTTGGAGCAGCTCAAGCTCCGATTGGACGGATGCCTTGGCTAGGCCCGCATGTAAGTTAATGGTTTTGCTTGTGACTGTCCGTGCTGCTGACAAAAGCGTAGTACAGCTCAGCTCCTGTATACGCGACGCGTTCGCCATATGCAACAGCTTCGCCATACGCAACAGCTTCATCTTCCGCAACAGCTCCTCCGTTACAAACTGCTTTCGTAGCTCTTCCACTACAAACTGCTTTCGAAGCTCCTCGTCCTTTCGTCCCACCTTTTACAGCTTCGCTCTCTACAGCTACATCGGTCGCAGCTTTTGGCGCGAAGTCGGCGCCTTTTGCAGCCCCTGCTACTCCGGCAGCAGCTCCATCGTCAGCTTCGGGGATAACTCTTGGAACAGCTTCTCCGGCAGCCCGTCCAAAGACTCCGGTCCAGCTACCCGCCGAGAAGCCTCCACTCTTGCAAGAGCTTCGGACTGCGTCCGATGATGACGTTGCTGCTTTCGCAGCAGATGACGAAGATGCTGCAGTGGAGCAGCAAGCTACCCTGTCATCCCTAGAGGGGAGAGCTACAAGCCAAGGTGCGGGTGCTTGCGAGAGGCTCGAAGCTAGTATGTATCACCCCGACGTCCGCGAAAGACCTAGACTGACTTGTTAGTAGTAGCCGCCCCTCAAGCTGACCGACCTCGAAAAGCCCGTCGAGGTGCGAAGCCAGTTCGAAAAGCCCCGATAGCTTCCACTCCACCGAGTTCGTTCTCTTCCTCTGCAGCTCAGCAAGCTCACCACAATAAGGCCGCACCTACAAGTGCTGAGCTCGATGAGCAAGACGGAGAGGACAGCGAAGTGGACAACGACGGCGCGTTCGTTGCGGTTTCGCAAGCTGGGCGTATGAAGCATGTGCCCACGAGCGGTCAGCTAAAGAAGAATCGAAAGCCAGCAGATCTTCCTTTACGGGTTTGGCTTCCAAGCTTATCAGATGGCAAAAGCAGGTGGCAGAAGCTGGACGTCTTGTCTCCAGAAATACGCGAAAAGCTGAAGACGGGCTTCGAGGCGATAATTAAATCCAAAACAGCTACGCTGTATGCAAGCTTTTTGCTTCCGGCAAACATACAGGGGCACCTACGCCGATGTAAGTCAATGCACTATGCACGTACGACAATATACTGACGTGGATGGAGGCCTTCTCCATGCCCTGATAGCGAAGACGGGAAAGCTGTTCCCCAAGAATCTCGAAGCTTGTGAATGGTGCGTCAAAAAGCGCCACATGTGCGCCAGTATCCGTGCTGGGGTCGAAGGCGAGCTGCCTTTTGTAGGCTTCCTGCCTCCGAGTTCAAATCTACGGGGGGGCCTTGGCCCAAACGACATCGGGTATTGGCGAGCTTCGTGACTGTCTCTTGCCAGCTTCACTGGGATTTCTTGCCAGCTTCATGGTTACTTCTTGCCAGCTTCGATGGTATTTCTTGCGAGTTTGAGCTACAAACTAATGAAACCTTCCAGTGCAATCCCATGTGCCTGCTTATACCTTGCAGTTTCCATACCGATCATTACCTCGTGTCATTTCGTTTGCGTCGCTGGTTATGCCGTATCGGGGAAGTTAGGGGTGTCTACTGCGACTTTCGACTCATCAGAGGTGCCTAGCAGAGTAATAATTTGACACGCAAGAGTTGTAAGCTCGCCACTTGATGAAACGTTCCCTTGTGGTGGTGTTGGCGGTGACTCAGAGGAGCAACGAGGCGAACCGCTCTTTCGGGTGGCGTTGCGCCCTTCTGCTGACTCGAACATCGCCATAGTACCGTTCAGTTTCCAGGCGTAAATGTCGCGCACCAATCGTAGTCGTTCATCGACACCGCGTCTTCGCTCGTCTGGAACCGCGGGAGCGTGAGTGACTGGCTATTCGGAACATGACCATCGCACACTCCGTAGTAGGATCGCGTCCATGGGTCGAAATCCGGAACAGGCTTGGAAGGATGAGGGCATGTTGTGACTCAGAAGAGCTGGTGTCTCTCGCGTGACATATAAAGAGACTCGTGTCGGCTAGAGTCGCATAAAGAATCGACCACCTGGAATCAACACCTTCACAAAGACTTCGCTTCTCCAAGCTAGAGCAGCAACCTAATCGAAAGGCCGACCTCAACTACTGCGGCTCAACTCTTCATCTGGACACCAATCACCAACCCACACGCTACCGCGTCATCTCAATGTCTACCACCACCAACAAGGCCGAACAAGCCGTCTCTTACGCCGCCTTGATTCTCGCCGACGAAGGCATCGCCATTACCCCCGATAAGCTGCAAGCACTACTCAAAGCTGCGGGTATCGAGGACGTCGAGCTTATCTGGACCACGCTCTTCAGCAACGCTTTCAGGGACAAGAACGTCAAGGACCTTATCCTCACTGCGACCACGGCCACACCAGCCGGTCGCGGTACCGCTTCCGATACCAAGGACGACGAAAAGACAACTGGAGAGGATGGAGATGACGAGAAGGACGGAGAGGAGGGTATGGATATCGACGCGGACTCGGATGATGGGTCTACATTTGGGGATCTGTTCGGCTGAGCAGCCGTCAGAGATGGGTAGAAGAGTACGGAGGAATGGGGACGGTCAACACCGTCTTTCGGGATGGATTGAGAAGAGTACGAGAGTTTTGAGATGCTACGTTAGTTGCGCAGCAAACAAGAGGATCTTTCTCTCGCAAAACCTGCTGTCTGCCTGATTTGCATAAGCCTCGCCCTTGAGCGCGCAACGTACGACGATGTTTGGCTTGATGTGTAATCTTCAAGTTGAGCTGAACGCAACCTGCTGACACTCTAATGGCTTAACGCCGCAACCTGCATACAAGCTTCGGCCCTGGTCTTGAAGCACTACGACTGTGATGGTGTAAAGTAATCATGTCGTATCCAAAGATTGGCGAACGTAGCACTTTATTTGGCCAATATAGCTGGGTGATGTGCAGAGACTTGTTCAGCTTTGAGTTTGCGGTGAAGATGGCGCTTCCCTCTCGAAGTCGGCAATGCGCTCAGGCCTGCTGCTGATCATAGATCCAGCTGATTCATGTTTCCCAATGCCAGGACATAGGAACGAGTAGTAAGCTATCAACTTGAAAGCATTTGGCAACAACTAGGAAGAATGTCCGGTAAATGGACGGCAAGTGACCTGTGCAAATTGTATGTTGTTCGTATGAGATGCGAGTAAGTTGCGCGTCTGAACATTCATCCTAGGCCTTGCTGCAGTGCGACGTGATGTGGTTCTAGAGTCCCCGAGCTACGACCGACCGAACATTAAGCTTCTGATTGCGACAACCCGCGACCCCTGCTCGATCTGCAGCCATCTGAATCGGAACCCACGCCCAAGGCTTTGGTGAGAACTCTCACCCCGCAAGAGCTTGCTGACAGTCAGCTCGGGTCCGTACGTTTGGGTCAAGAAACCCAAAACTGACGGGCCGCTGCGGCGGCTGTAGAAAAAAGGTTTCTGTAATACAATTGCGCCATGATGAGCTTGCTGGCTTCCAGGGTGGTGGTGAGTAAAAGTGTTTTGGCGTGCCGGCCTGTGCATAAGATGTGCACGCGATCGAGCAGCGCACTGTGAGTCGATTCGGCGCATTCCGAGACAGCAGGCTAAAGTAACATACGACTGGTAGGTCACATCCGTAGTATTCTGATATCAAATAAAGCGCACCGGTTCTTTTCTGGATCGGTCGACCTTGAGGTCAAAGACGTCGGGTCGCTGATATCCACCAACTACATCATGGTATTGTTTGCCCTCGATGCAGTCATTAAGATTGATGTCGGCATACAGTATGTCTTCTTGATCTTGCAATGCGTGCACATGTTCTTTCTCCACACCTTTGTAGGTGAAGCTAGGCAATGGCGCGCCGGTAGGGTCCAGGAAGAAGGTCGCGGCGCGAGGCATAGCGTGTAGGGTCTCGGCTACCACATCCGCTTGACTTGCACCCTCGATGATCGTCTTGATGGCATCTTCACCAAGATGGCCTGAGCATGCCACACCGAAACATTTTGCTTCAAAGCAATGCGCTGCAGCACGGGTCTTGTTTGCGGCTAAGTTGTCGTAGTTTGTTCCACGCGCAGCGCTTGGACTCGACTGTTCATTGCTATCGTCGGTAGTTTGCTCGGCGGTTTGCGCTGTGTGACGCGAAGTTCTTGTCGGCCATATCGTCGGCCACGTTGATATATGAATTTGCTCTGCTTGCGCGATCAAAGAGTACCTTGCAAGTGCATTAGTGTTTTCGCCACAGATTAACGCGCCGATACGCCCGTATTGCGTGTTAGCAACACGCAGCCCATAGCCGTCACCGCTACTCCATGTGAGCTTTTCGAAGAAAGTCGGGACTAGCTTTCGATGGTGAACCAGGACTTCGCCTTCGGTTCCAATGAAGATGTTCGAATTGTACAGGCAGCCGTTGCTGTGTCGCGACCTTTCGCTGAAGCCGATGCTCACTAGGATGTTGTTCGACCGAGCCGCCTCGCGCAACGCCTCCATTTCATCGCCATCAGCATAGATAGATTCTTGTACCATGCGCTGGAACAGGGAGTGGTTTTCAGTAGGGGGTCGTAGAGAACTCCAGATCGGAAACGCAGAGATGTAGGTTTCTGGAAAGACCACGAGGTTGGCCTTGTTAGATGCCGCTTGTTTGATGAAGGATAGAGCTTTATCTGTTGTTTTGCGTGCATTGAGAAAGACGGGTGATGCGTGACAGGCAGCAACGCGTAAGCTGCTTGCCATCATGGAAGGCTTCTTCGATCTGTGCTCGTGTCTGTGAGTGAAGAAAGAGGACAGTGTTGATGGTACCTAGGCATTCAACCCCGCGTCTGCGGCGTGATTTCCCCGCACCTCTTGGAACCACGCAACCAGTTCATGTTGTCCTCACGAGCTTCTGCAAGCTCAACAGTATTCAATAATTGAGCCTGCTGCATCACTGGAGTGTTCTGTGATCTCTGGTCCTCTCTCGGTTCCCAAGCGGCTGTCACTACGCCAAGAGGGGGCATCGTTTCACGGACGGGTTTTACACAAAGCGTTGCCTTCACGAAGCCCCCTAATTTCGCACACCCAGAAGAGACAGCTTCATCAGCCAAGCCATGGCTGACTTACTATTGAGAGGCATCGAACGCGATGCTTTGCAGGGAGCGAGCAAGGGAAGACGGAGATGCGACCTAGGCATAATCGGACTTGCCCGGTTCCCTAGCGGATGGTGCTGACACCCACTCTTTCAGCTAGAGCTGTGGCGTAAAATCGATACACAGCGTTGACTTGGAATGTTCGCTGTCGGTGGATAGAGACCAGATGTGAGCAGGAACCCGTGGCCCGGTGGACGAGAGCCTTGGCCGTTACGCGCTAACCCACTAGCGTATTCAGATTGTAAATTGTCTGGGCCACTGTTCACTCCTTCATCGTTCCTCAGTATCATGTATAATCCACACACGTCTGTTCGCGCGAGAAAAAGTTCTTTCAGTAGGCGGTTAGGGGACGTGTGACTGTGCCGACATTGAAAGACCTGCATTACAGCCCACTGAAGTACAGGCGTAGCTTCGGAGCGGCGATCCGATGCGGTAGCACCGTAGGTACAACATCAATCGCAGGGAGCAGCTAATTTCCTGAGATAACGAGCATTCTTCAGGAAGTCCGGTATGCACATGGCTCGATGCAGCATGTGTGTACGATCGATGTTGTGACCTCGGGACAAGGACAGCAATTAGCCGCCTTGCCACAACGCCCGACCAGAGCACACATGACACATGATCTTCATCATCGTTACGTTGCCGTATTGATGAATTATCTCATTTTTATCTCAATATTTTCCATTTGAGGTTCGTCAGGAAGCAGAAAGTTGTAATAACTCAGTATAGTCGTAATTCTGACGGGGGAATAACGACGTTGGCTGCATCATTCATTCAGCATTAATCGGCCAGAGCATAGCCCGTCGCTATATCGCCATCGGTGACCGATGTAAGGCTTAGTGAAGCAGCGGAATCAAGGCGCTGCTTGCTTTGTCACCAACTCGAGAAGTTGGAAGGCGTTTCAGCCTAGCTCGTGGGATAAGTGACGTTCCAGGTCCGGCAATGTGCCGAGCAACCTGGGAATCCCACGGCAGTGACCGAAGCCACCTTCCACGTTTCGAGCTGGTTCCGGTACCTCAATTTCAGGAACTGTGCAGCCATTATCAATCTACTGACCAATCAAGCTACCGCGACGGCACCGATTGTTGCGAAATTCCGCAGTGGGTCACCCGCGTGCCTGGACTGATAATCCTGACATGAACCACATCGGTCCGATGCAGCTTCGGTGCCCTGTGCGTCCAATTCATGCTAAACAACAACCCAGTCGCGACCGCCTCTGGAGCGCTTGGCGACACAGCGGGACGTAGTGGTGCTCCACTTTAGACGTTTTGACAGGATTGTTTATCAGATGAAGGGACTTCGCGGCCCTTCTCCGATGACGCAAATGGTTTCGAAACCCAAGTTGGCAAGTAGCGCCATGGAAGTCCAGTTTGGCACAGATGGTGTGCAGGCAAGGGTTAGATGGCATGCAAGATCTTGTGCCCAGAGTGACTTGCATGCCGAGTAGGCACAGCTCTGCCCGTCCCATGTCTCCCAGGCTTGACTGAGGAGGTATAAGAGTCTTGGGATCTTCCACTCAACCCATCTTTCACCCAACGTCGATCTTTCCTGCTCTTAGATACCCCAACAGTACTCGCTCAAGATGCGTTACTCACTCCTTGCTTTCGCTACTTGCGCTCTGGCAGCACGCCCTTTCCTCAACGAGCCCGATACTGGTATCGACGACCAGTTGGCTGGATTCGTCGCTAATGACACCCTACCTCCTCTTAAGTCTTTGGTTGGCCTGCCAGACTTCCAATGGGTCGGCCGCCAGCACATGAACACCTCCGCCTACACATACTACCGCAACGGAGCGGCTGGCGAATGGTCATACCGCAACAACCTCGAAGTCTTCTCGCGCTACCGATTAAGGCCCCGCGTCCTCCGCGACATCACCAACATTCAAGCCTCAATGCCTACAACTATTCTCGGCCACAACTTCTCAGCCCCGTTCTTCATCTCCCCATGTGCACGCGGTGGATATGCCAACGAAGATGGTGAGCTTGGCCTCGTTAAGGGTGCCGGCGAAGGCGACATCCTTTACATGACCTCGCTCTACTCTTCCAAGAGCTTGGAAGACATCTACGCTGCTCGTCCCAACGGCTCAGAGCAAGTCTTGTTCCAACAAGTCTACCTTGACGGTGACATGAACGACACCCAGGTCCTCTTCAAGAGGATCGAGGATCTCGGTGCGAAGGCCATTGTCCTGACTGTCGACTCTCCCGGTGATGGTGTCAGGCATCGTGCTGCCCGCTACGGTGTCGGTTCCGCCGATGTCAACCTGAGTCTTCTGACTTGGGATCTGTACCAACAGCTGTCCAAAATGACCTCCCTGCCTATCATCCCCAAGGGTATCCAGACCGTCGAAGACGCTCGCGAAGCCGTCAAGCAGGGCGTAAAGGCCATCTTCCTCTCTAACCACGGTGGCCGTCAAACCGACACTTC